ATTTCTTTTCACCCTTATTTCTTTCGCACAGGGGGTGATGGAAACCAATACATTAGTTTTAAACATTTATTGTAAAAGATTTTCTAATTTTAAATAAATAATTTTTAATATTATTTTAAGTGTCTTTTTTAATGAAATAAAAATATTTTAATTTTTTATTAAATACAATATTCTATTCCTCAAGTTAGATTACTCTATTCTTTCAATTAGAATATTCTATTCTTCATGCCAAAATATTTTCATCAGTAGGTGAAGAATATAATACACTTCCCATTAGAATATATACTTGATCATTAGGTGAATCTCCTCTAACATATAGAATATATCCTTGGCACCTATTTTAGGGGGATGTATTCTTCATGTTAGTGGGAAATACTAAGTTTCAGTATATTATTTTTTCGGTGCAGGGTCGATTCATAAAATTACATTATTAGTTTTGGATCAGTGATTTAAAAATTAGTCTTGTTCTAGATGTAATTTCTCATATTTTTAATAAAATTTTTAATTATCGACGGTATTAAATTATTAATTAAATTAAATTTTAATATTAGAATTAGATATTAATACTATTATAATTATAATGCCTGATTATTAATAGATGCAATAATCAATATTTTTTATGATAACAATAATAATAATAAGACAATAATAATGATAAAAACAATAATAAACTATTTTACTAATATTATAATTATAATGGTAATAATTTGAATAATAATACTAGAATATCAATATTATTTTAATAATAAAAGTAGCAATAATAATAATTATAATTTAGAATACAACTTGAATAGTATTTTGTAAAAATATTTTTATACAAGTAAATTGTTATCAATGTTATTGATAATAGGTAAATGACTGATTAAACAGTTTTCATATATAATTTAATAGAGAAAAACATAAAATTTGTTCACTTCATAATTAAAAAAAGATAAATATGCATATATGTGAAAAAAGGAAAAGCTAAAGCAGAATATTAGTTAGTGGATAATAATTATTAAAAGCTTAAAACGCAATTTTCTAAATTGGAAAGTGTTGCAACCACAATTTCGACACATTCGAAAAAAAACATTTAATTACCAAAGGAATTTAAGAACAATTATACGCTTTCGTCTTTTCTCTGATAAAATGTGTATTATATGCGTATGCGTATATTATGTGGAATAGAGGAAATGTTAAATTAATTTCAATATAAATAATAAACATATATTATATCTGCAAATCGATTAATAATTTAACTATACTCAAAATAATAATATTATCGATATAGTAATTAAATTAGAACAATATTATTCGGTTATGAATGAATAATTTTATTAAAAATAAAATTTAGTTTGATAATAATAAATAATTTATTTATTAAGGGGAGACTTCGACTGCTTTTTTAACTATATCAAGAAAATGATTTAAATCTTCAATAAAATTATTTTTATAGTAATTTTTTGGGAGGATATCATATAATGGTCAGAAAAATTATTCTGACCCTTTTTGGATTTTTATTTTTCTTAAAAATTGATAGATTTTTAAAGTCATCCGTAATTTTGTAGAAAATATGTTTTTGAATTTACAAAAAAATTGCCGAATGAAAAAATTTATTTTTACAATTTTAAAGCATTTTTTTTTTAAAAAACATTGTTTTTAGTAAAAATGCCAAAAAATACCATTGTTATACAATTTTTTTTGTATGAAAATTCGCTTGGGTATTTATTTTTCTGTAACTAATTTAAAAATTATAATTTTATCATATAATTTTTTTATTTTTAAAAATTATGATTTAAATACAAAAATACTAAATAATTTAATGAATAATTAAATATTTCTTAAATTTGAATTCTTTTAAAGAACTTTATCAACATTTTTTTAAATAATCGAATTTTTACGAATAATTGCATTAAAATTTTTGATAATAATTAAATTCATTCAAAAATAGTAATTTATTAATTGAAAATAATTATTTCACTCTAAGAAACAAATTATATCAAATTTTTTTAAATAATTGAATTTTTTCGAAGAATTTTATTCAAATTTTTAAGAATAATTGCGTCTTTAGCGGAATTAATTTAAAATTATATTATAAAGATAATTGAAATCCAGCGATGAGTTTTATTATTTATGAAAATAATTGAATTTTTGTCACCGAACTTTAATAAATTTTTTTAAATAATCGCATTCTTGAGAAGAATTAAAAAAAAACCTTTTTAAAGAAAAGATTTTTTTCAAAAAATTTTTTGAAAATTGTGTTTTAAATAATTGAATGTCTTTGAAAATTGTATCCTGATTATTTATGAAAATAATTGAATTTTTTCAAAAAAATTGTATTAAAATTATATTGAAAACGATTTAATTATTATAAAGAATTTTATAACAATTTTTAATAATAATTGAAATCCTGCGACGAGTTTTAATATTTATAAAAATAATTGAGTTCTTGCAACGATTATTATTAAAATTTCAAAAAATAATTGAATTCTTGAGAAGAATTTCATTATTTATAAAAATAATTGAATTCTTGCTAAGAATTTTATAAAAATCTATTTAAATAATTGATTTTTTTTTTGAAAAATATTATAGAAAAATTTCTGTTTTAAATAATTGAATTCCTGTGAAAACTTTTTTATTTATAAAAATAATTGAATGTTTGCGAAGAATTTTATAAAGATTTTTTTTTAAATTATTCCATTCTTTTTTGGGAAACTTTTTTATTAAAATAGTAGATATTAAAAATCATTCAATTACAAAAAATTTGTCCGAAAATAATTGAATTCCTGAGAATAATTATATTATTTATAAAAATAATTGAAATTCTGCGATGAATTTTATTAGTTAGGAAAATAATTGTATTTTTGCAAACGAATTTTACTAAAATTTTAAAAAATAATTGAATTCTTCAGAATAATTTTATTATCTATAAAAATAATTGAACTTTCACGGAGAACTGTATTAAATTTTCATAATTGAATTCTTGCAAAGAATTTTATTAAAATCTTTTAAAATAATTGTTTTTTTTTCAAAAAGTATTAGGAAAATTCTGTTTTAAATAATTGAATTCCTGTGAAAATTTTTTTAATTATGAAAATAATTGAATTCCTGAGAAGAATTTTATAAACATTTTTTTTTAAATTATTCAATTCTTTTGGGGAATTTTTAATTAAAATACTAGATATTAAAAATCATTCAATTACGAAAAATTTGTGAAAATAATATTGAATCGTTTTAAAGAATTTTATTAAAATTTGTTGAATTTTTTCCAAAAACTTTTTTAAAATTTTTTAAAATAATTTTTTTTATTTTAACTATTAACAAATTTAATAGAGTAAATTCTCAAACATGGAAAAAAGTAGCTTTTAGTGTAACAAATAAAAAAAAGTATTCAAATAGTAGGAAATCGTAAAAAAAGTAGTAAATTAAAATAAATTAGTAAATTTCGCACTCATCTACTATAAAACCTAATTAGGTTTTAGCAGATGAGTGCGAAGCCTGATACCTAAATAATAAACATTGATTATAAAAAAATTGATATTATTAATTAATTCATTAAAATGAATAGTAAATATAAATAATATTCTATAATGAATTTTATTGATTCAGAATAATCAATAGGAGTATACTTGTTATTTTGATATTACTGTTTAAATTACTGCCTAAGTTCTTGCAATTAAATTAGTTAATTTTGACTATTAGAATAAGCACCCTGACCTTATAATTATTTTATTGTCGTTCGTTAATTTAAAGGCAAACAGAAATATTTGACGATTGACAGGCAATTGTTATAGTTTTGAATAGCAAATCATTATTAGGGAAATCTTAATTCTTTTGCTGAGTGAAACAAATCCATTGTCAATCATTTCTCGTATACCCCCAACAACCCCCTCTTTCTCTCTAATTATTGTACTTAAGGGTACCTTTATGGTGCATTAACACCGATTATAAAATTCGAACACACAGTTAGAGTTCGATTCACTCCTACAGGACAAAGATATTATTTGTGTGTGTTTGTGAGTTGAAAAAAATTCTCTCATACAATTAAGGTTGATTTTGTATTTGTATTCATGCTAACATTACTGACACAGCGAAGCGAGTCGACGGTTAGTCAGGCAGGCTTTTACGCTAGTGTACACTTCGAGAAGACATTATATGCTTCTCGATATCGTACAGTTTGAAGCGGCATTTGGAGAATCTAGCCGGCAGCCGGTCGACCAACCAATCAGCGTGCCGCATTCGTTTTATGCCCATATATGGCAAGAGCTGTGAATTGCCGTGGTGGGAAGGAAGCTGGAATAGTCCATTTTCATTATCCAGGGATGTTACGCACCTGAGGGGCACAAATTCCTGACAATAGAAGCTGATTCATGGGAAAAATTCAATTTACAAAATTTTTTCACCTGAAATTTTAATTTTAGCTTATTGGTAATCAACGAGGAATGTGATTTTCGGGATTTTATTAATTAGAACGTTTTTGAAAGTTTGCAACAACCAATCATACCTGCGATCAAATTGGAATGGTCGCGATATTCTCAGGGCCGTGTCACAATATTTTGAATTTGGTCTTTAGAAATTTGAAATTTGAATACAATTATTTGGGATAAAAATTGTTTTCATAATTACTAATTCCTTATCTAGAGAAAATAGATCAATTTTACTATTTCATAGTCTGAAATATTATCCCCAAAAGCTCTTGAATAGTAATTTAATTTCCTTTTTTAGATTTATAACTCTGTTTGTCGTTTATTAAAACAAAAAATAGACTTTAAAACCATTTTTCTAAAAAATTTCCCCCATAAAAACTTTGCCAGTGAAAAAAATTTATTTTAATTTTAAAACAATGAAATTGTTTTTTACTTCTGGGTAAATTTTCTTCCCATTGTAAATATTTCGAAGAATATTTATCTACTCTTAGAATTATTTATCTGATTTAGTAAAATTATTAAAAAAAAACATGCGAAAAGGAGAAATTAAAAATTTGTTTTTTTTAGAATTTTAATTAAATGGGGGGCGGGGTGATTTTTAAATGTGACGTTCCTGATCTTTAGCCCCAGAGTTCGTAACTTGCGGCGTCTTTCGGTTTTAGTTCGACTCGTCGTGTCACTAGTATCATCTGCAGTTCAGCTTGCCGATCGAGGACCAGGCAATATCATCAATTTCATTTCCTTTTTAAAAGGTGGGTACTCGTAAATCAATTAAATCCTCGTAATTACGCGATTAAAACCGGTGCGTTTCGCGACGAACTGTCAGAATTTTTTGGGTACAAAGTTTCGTCGTTGGAACGGATCAGGCCGGCGAACAAGTCCGCCATAATAATTCTGGGCGTTGCTTCCTCGTGGCATTTTCAAAAGCGGTATTCACAATTAATTTCCCTGTTTATTTCAATTGTGATAATTTTTTTTAAATCCTTTGAAAGTGTGTTTTAATAATCCGACAGGTTGTAGTTGTCAGGTGGTTCCTTGACGTTCCGCGTGTTTGCAGGTGGTCGTCACATCGTGGCGTCTATTATTAGGCATACACAACGTCGTCATTCTGCCCTAACCTACCTCGTCTTATGCGATTCAAACACGTTTATTTTCGTACGTTTAATTCTCCATTCAGTTAACCGCGAAATGTTGACATTGACCTCCGTTGACCCTCTCAAATGTCTGATAAAAGATTTTGGTGAACAACCAGTTTTTCATTAGCCGGAAGCCGGTTAATTCTTTTAACGGTTTCTTTTTGTCTCCTTCCCCTTCTTTTCTCTCTTCTCTCTTTCTCTCTTTTCTTCCTGGAATCTCCGTCAAATCACTTTTTTGGCAAATTTTTTTAGATAAATAACTTTGCAGATTACAGGAAACCAAGGTTTGAAAATTGACTTCCTGTTATGTTAATTTGCTCATTATATTTCTTTCCGATATATTAGTCTGTGTAGTTAAATTTTAATTTGTAAAAATTTATTTTTCTTCCCTTATTTCAGTAAAGAAAATTTAATAATATTGGCAAAAAATTTTTTAAAGTGCTTAAATTATTAAATAAATTTTATCTTAAATTTTTAACTCTTCAACTAATTTTTTTCAGTAGAAATTGATTTTGGTATTTATTAATCCGTTATTTTAATAAGGGAAAATATAAAAAATGATTTTTAAATTCGAAATAATTATCAATGAATCAAAAAATACATTTTTCAAGAAAATAAATTGTTTAAATGAAAAATTTTACTATGGTTTTTGATTAATTAAAAAAGTAGATAAAAAATTAGATTTATTGTCAATAAAATTAGCTATAAACAATTCATTTCTTAAAATTGATGTTAAAATAAATTGGAAAAAATCTATTTTTTCCAATTATTTTAAAATCAATTTTTACATCAATTTTAAGAAATTAATTTCAATAAACCAAGTTTTAAGAGCTTTTTTTAAGAAAATTCTACAAAATTATTTTAAAAAAGCTCTTAAAACTTGATTTATTGAATATTTAATCTTTCTGAAAACGATTATTAATTATATAAAAATAGTAATTGACAAAAAGATAATTTACCATTCTGTCCTTAACTATTTAAGAAGTTGAATAATTTTGTTTTTTGAAGATTAAATTTATTTAAAAAGGCAAGTAAAATAAGAAATTAATTAATTAATTAATTATAGACGTAATTCAAATTTTATAATTATGATTTTATAATCATATATGTAATTATAATTTTCAATTAAAAATTTAATTATAATTCTATAATTATCAAAATTAATCATAATTTTATAAATTATAATTAAATTTATAAATTGATTCATCAATTAATTCATTGAATTAATTTATTAATTTTACGATTTATAATTTGATTTTTGAATAATTAAAACCGTAATTTAAACACAGATAATTACAACAAAAAAACAAAAAGTTTCAAATATAAATTTATAAATATACAAATATAATTTATAAAAAAATACTCAAGCACTTAAAAAAATTTTTGCAAATCTCAAAATTGAAATTACACGTGCTGTCAGAAAATCTGTGACTTAGAAACCACGTGATTCACATCTGATGAAGTACTACGTGAACTGACAGGCACTTGTGTGCGGGAAATCGAATTCCTCAAATGTCAAACAGTGTCGAAGTCATTCAAGCTGACTCTCGCGAGAAACCCTTTACTTGGCAAGGATCTTGATGGCATTGAGAAATATTTTAACAAACAGGAAGAGAGGCAGAGGGGGGTGGTTTCTTGTTTTTCTTATTTAGGAAAAAAAGAAGTAAACTCCAAAGAGGATTATTCAGTGTCTCGTTCAGTTTATTTGGATGATGCATTTTACAAAGATTGACGGGTGGTTATTTCGCGTTTGCGCGGGGGTGAATGAGGGGGGGGGTGATAGTATTGATAGAGAAGGGGACCCCCTCCCGCAACGGAACACTTCCATATATGGTAAAGAAAGCCAGGATTGGCCAAGGGTGTCCTGACTTTATTGGTCGATCAACATCAGGTGGGGGGATGAACAACGGGTCTGTTCATATAATACACTGCAAACCGGCTGGTCGGCTACATTTTGTGTTAGATGCTGTACTTGTCAGCAGTACGACAATCTGTCGTGTAACATCCAAAGAAACTTCTCCTAAAACTTGTACATAACTTTTTTTTATACCGCAATGTAAGTTTAATAAGTTAAATAAGTTATTTTGAAAAAGTTTTTTTTTGAAATTTTCGGAATATTTGTGTTTTTTGGAATTTTGTTTCGTTAGCAAAGTGTTTCTTTTACGAGTGGGTATTTTTGCCGCAAATATTTGTAATAGAGGTGAAATTATCGGATAGTGGGTGTCTTTTTGAAATCCGTGCACCGTATTTGGTGTCCTGTGTCAAATGGAATTTATTTGTGCTCAGCTCTGCGAAAATAGTGTTCAAAAAAGAAGTGTTTCCTTTTCGGATTTTTCGAAGGAGAAATTTTCTTTACGCTGAGAATTATTTTTCTTTCTTTTTTGCCTTTGAGAAGAATGTTTTCCAGCTTTTATGGTGGTTGTTGGGGAATTTTAAATGCACCGGGTTTATCGACTGGTTTTCACACCGGGGTTGGGCGGGGCAGGGTGCGGTTTGGAAGCCGACGCCTCCAAAGTCGATTGTTCAATTTCAATATAGGAGATTATTAATCCTCATTGTTGTAATTATTTCAATAATCGATTTTTTGAATAGTGGATTTAGAATTTTATGATTGGGATTTTAGAGTGAGGGACTCGTGGCCAGGGTGGCGAAAGGTTCTCTACGTGTACTTTTCCAGGTGCCATCTTAAATATTTGCTGGGATCACGTGACGTGACTGATTCTTGGAATTTAGCATTAACGGTCAAATTCCTTTCCTTTATCTCACAAACCCAGAGTGCTATCTTTTCGTTCTTGAATAATTAAGTGGTGATTTATGACTGAATATTCGGGCAGTTTAGTGTTAATTTTAGAATAGTTATCAGACAAAAGGGATTGAAATTCTTTTTCGTATTATCTAAAACTGATTTTAATTTAAAGTTAAATAACTTAAAATTTGACAGCATTATAATAATATTGTCGAATTTTGACAGTATTGTGATAATACTGTCGAATTTTGTAAAGATGAATATATTTATTGATAATTATGGGGATTGTGTATTAATGATTAATTTTGTTTGCAGTTAAATAAAACAACAGACTAAACATGTGTGACGAAGAAGTTGCCGCACTCGTAGTTGACAATGGCTCCGGTATGTGCAAAGCCGGATTCGCCGGCGATGATGCGCCCCGTGCTGTCTTCCCCTCGATCGTGGGAAGGCCACGTCATCAGGGTGTCATGGTTGGAATGGGACAGAAGGACTCGTACGTCGGTGATGAGGCCCAATCGAAGAGAGGAATTCTCACTTTGAAATATCCAATTGAACACGGAATTGTCACCAATTGGGATGATATGGAGAAAATCTGGCATCACACCTTCTACAATGAACTTCGAGTTGCACCCGAGGAACATCCAGTTCTCCTCACTGAGGCTCCCCTAAATCCCAAAGCTAATCGTGAAAAAATGACTCAAATTATGTTTGAGACCTTCAACACACCCGCCATGTACGTCGCCATTCAGGCCGTACTTTCACTCTACGCTTCCGGTCGTACCACCGGTATTGTCCTCGACTCTGGCGATGGTGTCTCCCACACCGTACCAATCTACGAGGGATACGCTCTTCCTCACGCTATCCTCCGTCTTGACTTGGCTGGTCGTGACCTCACCGACTACCTCATGAAAATCCTCACCGAAAGAGGATATTCATTCACAACCACCGCTGAACGTGAAATTGTCCGTGACATCAAAGAAAAACTCTGCTATGTCGCTCTTGACTTCGAACAGGAAATGGCCACCGCCGCATCGTCCTCCAGTCTTGAGAAGAGCTACGAACTTCCCGACGGTCAAGTCATCACCATCGGCAACGAACGATTCCGATGCCCCGAGGCTCTCTTCCAACCATCCTTCTTGGGTACGATTCTATACTTTAAATTTGATTTTAAAATAGATTTTAAATTTAAATTTAAACATTATATTTAAAAAAAGAAATATTTATAAGTACTAATGAATCCTTTTTTGCTTTACAGGTATGGAAGCTTGTGGAATCCACGAAACCACATACAATTCAATCATGAAGTGCGACGTTGATATTCGTAAAGACTTGTACGCCAACACTGTTCTCTCCGGTGGTACCACAATGTATCCAGGAATTGCCGACAGAATGCAGAAGGAAATCACTGCCTTGGCACCATCCACAATGAAAATTAAGATTATCGCACCACCCGAAAGGAAATACTCCGTCTGGATCGGAGGATCAATTCTTGCTTCTCTCTCGACATTCCAACAGATGTGGATCTCCAAACAAGAATACGACGAGTCAGGACCATCAATTGTCCACAGGAAGTGCTTCTAAGCGTCTAGTCGCTAATTTTTGTCGATTTCTCACATTTTCGACTCTTGAGATTATAATAATCAATGTTTGCGCGATATAGAAATTAAAGAAAATAATGACGATGATACTGTTTAAATCGATAGAGAAATGATGCTCATTAAAAATAAGAGTAGAAGTATTAAAATTATTAATTAAAAATTCCACTTTCTACGTACATTTTCTTTTTTTGCATAAAAGTGTAATTTTATGACATTTCTAAAAGAAAAAAAAGACAGAGAGAGAGGGAGAGTAGAGAGAGAGAGAGAAAAATACACTTTTGTGCAAAAGAATTATTTTTTTTTTATAAAAAACAAACTCAAAATTTTCGATAAGCATCATTTTCATATCGTTTTATATGTCTATTTCCTGACATTGATTATTATAATCTAAAAACTCATTTCATGTCATTAATTACTGTATCTAAAGCTTGTCGAAGAAATACAATAATTATTCTAAGGATTAGTTTTATAATTTTAATTCAATAAAATTGTTTTCAACGAAAAAAAAAATGTACTCAGTTTTATTAGCGACAGTTACAGTATTATTTTTTTTCTTTCTTTCCAAATAAACTGTGAATTATTTTGCAAATTAAAATGACATTACATTTAAATTAAAACGTAGAATAAAAGTTATACATTATCTTAAAAAAAAATTGTGTTAATATTTTTTCATCATTTTCAATTTTGACAGTATTTTTATTTATTTAAAATTTCTATTCAATATTAGAAGAAATAAAATTTATTTAAATTTAAACTTTTCTTTAATTTCAATTCAAAAGTTATTTCTATAAAATAAATTAACAATTTTTCATTTCAATTTGAAAATAATTCTATCAAAATTATTCAAACTTAATTTCTATAACATTTATTTAAATAAAGAAATTGAATTTTTTTTATTCACTAACTAAAAAAGAAAAAAAAAATTTTCTTTTGTTAATTTCCTTTTTTTTATATGAAAAGAATTATAGAGAAGGCTCCCACATTAATATTGATTTAAATATGAATTTCTTTTTTTCGTGAATATTTATACGGGAGAGTAAAATTTTAAATAAATAAAGAATAAAATTAATGAATTATTAATTGGCGGTAACAAAGAAATTTTTTTTTCTTTTTATGGAATATTTCACGTCATTGGCATTTGAATGCGCGGTACTGATTCCATTTTTGTGAATTTATCAACGCAAGAGGGAGTAGAAATGTTTACTGTGCACAGTAATTGTTAATTTGTGGTGTTATTAATTATAAACAAGTGATATAAATAAAGAAACAGCAACATATGCTTCCTATAAATTATTCAAAATGCCTGATGAAAACATTGGCTCCCAATATTCAACTTGGGTAAGTAAACAAGTAAACAATAGATTTTGACGTATAAACATAACCTCAAATTTGTAAAGCGAAATATTTAAATGCCTTTATTGAAATTATAAATTTATAACATTCGTTTATTATTAATATTTATCGAATATTTACCAATAAAAAGCCAGAAATATTGAATGATTGAATGTAAATAAATTAAATTGGATATTTAGTAGAAATCGAATAAAAAATAGCGAGACTTTATTTTTATAAAAGTGTTAGTAGTATCATAACAATTGAAAACAAAAACTTTTCGATTTTTTGATCAATTTACTTGTTTAGTTGTTTAATTTAGTTTTGTATATTTGAGGAGCTAGTTTTCATTATTCAATAAATCATTTACTTTTTGTATTTAAATAATTTCATTCACGTAGAATATATTTTTATTCGTGTATATTTGATTTTTATTTATTTTTCTAATTTTGTTCACAGGTTGGCCTGATATATATTTTTAATTTAATAGTTGGTACAGGGGCATTAACACTACCAGCTGTTTTTAGTCGTGCAGGATGGTTACTTGGCGTGATAGTTATTTTAATTTTAGGCCTCATAAGGTATGAAATATTTAATTTCAAAATTTCTTCCTCGAAACTCTAATCGTAAATAATTTTATGACTTTTCTTTTTTCATAGCTTCATTACTGTTACATTTGTAATAGAAGCGATGGCATCGGCTAATGCTGTAATTAAATGGAATCGAATTCAAAATAGTAAACGAGAAGTTAATGTACAAGATTTTAATGAATCTGAGGTTAGTAATTCTAATTATTTAATTATACGTTTACAACTAGTTTATTTTTCTACAATTATACAATTTTTTTTATTTGTAAGTTTTCTTTTTATTTGTATATTTATTTTTACATTTATAAGTAAAAAGTAAAATAAGTTTGCATAAGTATTGAAAATGGTGTGTATTGATTATTATATTTTTTTAGGGCATTGAATCAATGAGAGAAGTGAGTTCCGAGGATTGTGAGGATACACCGCTGGTTAATCAGCAAACGGATAATTTGGAAGAAAATGAAATAACATACAGACATTATGTTATTGATGAAAAAGTTGAAATGGGAGAGATGGCATCGATTTTCTTCAATAAATTTGGAGTGATTTTATTTTACGTCTGTTTGATTGTTTATCTTTTTGGTGATTTGAGCATTTATTGTGCGGCTGTGGCAAAAACTTTGGCAAACGTTGTTTGTACGTACATACCTGAGAATTACACGATCAATGATACGATTCCAGATACTGCACCATGTTGGAAAGATTCAAAATATAATAGACTCGATGCTTATGACAACTATTTGGTTTGTAATTCTAAAACATAGAACTTGAAATTATAATTTTGTATTATCTTTTCCTACTTAAGTTTTTGTAATTTAGAAAACTTTCTAAAAATATTAACTTTTAATTTTTCAGTCATTATTCATCGTTGTGATGGGACCTTTCGCATTTTTCAACGTTCAAAAAACGAAATATTTGCAGTATTTAACGTCAGCAATGCGGTGGCTTGCTTTTAGTATAATGATTATATTTGCTTTGCAAAAAATTATTGCCAATGGTCCTCAAGGAAATCCACCACCTGTGAATTTATCAGGTTTGATTATTTTTTTATTTATTATTATACTAGATTTTATTAGAACTAGATTCGAGACCTGATATTTTATTAAATTTTTATTGAACTTGAATTAAATTATTTTTTTCTTTTCAGGAATTCCACGATTATTTGGTGTTTGTGTTTACTCTTTTATGTGTCATCATTCACTGCCAGCATTGGTTGCGCCGATAAGCAATAAAGGAACACTCAACAGGTCATTAGCATTCGATTATCTATTAATTGCATTTTTCTATTTGATTTTAGCGTTAACGGGAACTTTTGCATTTGCACATGTTGACGATCTTTATACATTAGATTTCGATCCAAATGGAGGTGAAAATATTTCCAATTTATTCGTTAAAATAATTGACTATTTTCTAACATTATTTCCCGTTTTTACATTGAGCACAAATTTTCCCATAATTGCAATTACATTGAGAAATAATTTACAAACACTCTTCTTTAGTCAGAATAGAAAATATAATATTGCTATTAGAATAATTATAGCCTGTTCCGTGATATTGTTACCATTTTCTGTTGCAAAGTACACTAAAGATTTATCGATTCTTGTTGGAATCACTGGCTCTTATGCAGGTACGGGAATTCAATATTTAATACCGACATTTTTAATTTATTACGCTAGACGTCACACTAGTGAGACAATTGGACTTGGTATTACGAATAAATTTGCTAGTCCTTTTAAAAGTAATTATTGGCTGATTTTTGTTTTTATCTGGTCAATTGCTTGTATGATTTTAGTTTCGGTGAATTTGATAGAAATTCATTTGAATTCGACTTGAAAATTTCTTTCTTTCTTTTTTTGATAAAATTTTTTATATAGATCTGTTTTACTTTTTACATTGCCTTTATGGTGATTGAAATAGACAATACTTTGGCACAAGTCAAGATACGTGATAAAAATATATATATTATAAAAATATTAAGTCATTTTTATAAAATGTTTTAATATTTTCTTTTTTGTTAAAATAATTTTTTATTATAAAATAATTAAAATATTTTAATTCTTTTTTATTTTTTTATTTTTCATTTTTTCTTCTATTAGAAACAATTTAGTATATTTGTAATTTATTTCAATAAGTTTCAATATTATTCATTAGAAATAATTTATTTTGTTTTAATTAATTTCAACTCGATTTTCCAATTTAAAAATAATTTTAATTAAAAGTTTGTAATTTTGAATTTAAAATTAAAATTTTTTATTTTAAATTCGTTTTCAATTGTCTAGTTTTTAAAAAAACAGTACAATAATTAAAATAAGAATGGATATATTTTTTTAAAATGTGAAATATATTATAAAATGGTAATGGTGCCAATTTTAATACTGCAGGAAATTGATGATAATTAGATTTACAGATAGTTTAAGTATTTTTCTAAAATCACAGTTAATTTTTTTTTCTCTTTACATAAATATTTAAAATAAATATTCCTTTTCTGGTAGTTTTTAAGCCTATATGAAAAGAAATTTATTTCCATAAAAGAGTCAATTATTTGTTGATAAATAAATATTTACTTGGGACAAATAATTTTTAATTAAATCAAATAAATCATGTAAATTTTCCTTTATTTCGAAATTTAAAAAAAAATCCTCTATTTGAGGCAAATATTCAGGGTTCGAACTAGTTCGCAAAAATTTAACGATATAATTTGGAGAATTTTTGAAAAGTTACATATAATTGCAAAAAATGCAATTATTTTCAAATGTAATAAAATTCTTTGCAAAAATTCAATAATGGTAAAAATTTTTTAAAAATTCTCGTCAAAATTTCAATTATCTTTAGAAATAATTAAATTCATCTCCAAAATTCAATTATTTTCAAAAATTTTCCTCAATTCAATGATTTTTATTATCTACTATTTTTATAAAATTTTCCAAAGGAATTCAATTATTTAAAAAAAAATTTAATAAAATTCTACACAAACTTTTAATTATTTTCAAAAAATAATAAAAATTTCACAGGAATTTCATTGTTTACAAATTTTTTTTATAAATTTCTTCGCAATCATTCAATTATTTTCATAAATAATAAAATTTTTACAGGGATTCAATTATTTTCGTAAATAATAAAATTCTTTTGACGAATTCAATTATTTTCATAAATAATAAAACTCATTTCAGACTTTCAATTATTTTTAATACAATTTCAATCAAATTCCTGGAAAAATGTAATTATTCTTAAAAATGTTATTAAAATTTGTCAAAAGAATTCAGTTATTTAAAAATTTCTAGATTTTTATTTTCTAATACATATTTATAATTAAAGAATTTACGAATAATTGAATTTTGTAAAATTGAATTGTAAACAAATGAATTTTAAAATTCTTAAATAACTTTTTCAAAAATTATTAAAAATAATCGATTTAAAGAAGAATTTTGAGTTAAAAATTCTTGTAATTAATGATTTAATTGTAAATAATTTTATTATTTTTGTCCGTAATTTTTCATTTTTGGTCCCTAAAGTCTGTATTTTGAAATACTTTCACTGCTTCGAGCCCTGAATATTTAATTGATAAATTTTATTTAATTTAAATAAAGAATAATTAAATTAAATATTTATTTGATAATATAGAATTAAAAAATGAATTAAATAATTATTTTTCGGTCTTATAAAGCTCGATTTAAATTGAAAAAAAATTTAGATAATTCGAATAACCGATTACTTGTTTATTATCAAATAAATATTTACTTGAATCAAATAATTTTGATTTAAATTATTTAATTTGTAAATAATAAATTAAAAAAAATTTTAAAAGTAAATGGAAAAATCGAAAAGTTCCTATAGAAATTCGAAATAGTGTACGAGTTATGAATTCCTTCGTTGAAAATAATAAATGTAATAAAAGTAACTTATATATGAAATATTAAAGAATGAGATTATATTCTATTGTCAATATTGTAAAAATTATTGTTCACAGGAAGGTTAAAAATAAACTTTTTCTCTTGTTAAATGTGTTTTTGGTATAAATAATACATATGTACATATATTATTTATCATATATTCTTCAAGTGAATAAATTTAAGCGTGACAATCCTTAACACGAATAGAATTCTTTTTTTTAATATAATTTAACAATACGTGATATTTCAAAAAAATTTTATACACATTTTATATTGTCTTATATGAAATACAAGGCTTTTAAAGAAGCATGCAAATTGTAAAAAGTCAAAAAAAATACAAACAAAAATAAAAATTAATTTATAAATTTAATTTTATAAATAATAATTAAGTAAATAAATAAATATTAGTTTAGGGGAGAATGGCGTAAAGCCGATTAAGATTAAAAATAAATTCATGTTTGAAAATCACTCTGATTTAATAATAACCACTGAGATGACAATCTCGTTAGTTTACAGAATTTGCAGTTTGTGAACAAAAAAAAAATTTTTTTTTCTTGAAAAATTTCTCTTTTTCTTTTTTATTTTGAAAAGAAAATTTAAAAATACTCTGTGCGAACATAAAATTTAGAGTAATCAAAAATTGAGAAAATTATCCGAAAAAAATTTTTTTTTTACTAATTTTTTATATTTTTTTTCTTATTTTTAAACAATTTGATTGTTTGTCAATCGCCAGCAATAATTATTCAGGGTACAAGTAACGTAGTTTAAATCTCGCAAACAACAATTTTTTTTTCTCCATTTAATATTGGCACATGTAATACAATATAACCGGAAATAGAATTTTTTTTTTAATTGAGTCGCAGAATATTTAACGTTCATTATTATAGGGCCTGATAAAATACTTTTACTCCCTTACTTGTAATGTTTTTTTTTCGTACGTCAGTCTTATCTTGTGCCATATAGAAATTTTTTTTAAGAGGCTTCTTATTTTTCTCTTCATTTAAATTACATACTTCATCTATAAGCCATTATTTGAAAACATACAAAATCGGACTTTCAGATATGCTTCGAATTTGTCGATTCTGTAATTCTATCGACTTAAGGCTGAGAGAATAATTTTTATTCCACAGCTTGGTACGGATTATACAATTTTTCCTTTTTTTTAAGTAAAAATCTTGTTACTGATGGTTAAAATACTTTTTTTTTGTTGTTGTTACGTCTTTTGGAAATTGAACACATAAAGGCCATATAATAACGCCAAAAACTTTTGATCGCTTTGTATACATTTATAATTTTTTTTATGCTAAATTATGGTTACATTCACACTTGTGTAATAAACTGAGCTTCATAATGAGCGACGATCGGTGCGAATTAGTATAAATAAATATTTAATAATAATAATACTTCTAAAAACTATTGATTCTGATTCTAATAGTTATTTTTTGTATACCTTTTGAAGGTAAAATGATCAGATATTCTCTTTTTTTCAAGGGTTGCCACAAAAAATTAATTTTCTTTTTCCCTGATTTCCAAACAGAATTTTGACTTTTTCCTTGACACTAAATAATATTTTGATTCACTCTAAAAATTATTAGAAATTCAAAAAAAAAAAATGTTCGAATATTTACGAATTTCTTTAATTGTAAAATTATTCGAAAACAATTTTTTTTATTTATCATAATTTTTTTTCCATTGAAATTAAGATTTTAAAAAATTTCAAATTCAAATCTTTTGAAATTTAATAACTTATAAGAATATTATTAAAAACATGAAGAAATCGAGCACTCCGAGTCTTTGACTCGGAGTAATCGATTTCTTCATGTTTTTATAATAATTAACGATAATAATCCAGGGATAAAATTATTATTTTTTTTAATATTGTTACTTTGAACTTTTTCGAAATTATTTTCATCATTTAAAGTCAATTATTATTTTCTATAATTTATAACTAAAATTCTTCTTTAAATCAATTATTAGTTAAAAGTACGAGAAATTCAGATTTCCAAAGATTTTAATTTGAAAGCTTTTCAAAATTAAATTATTTCTAAAAATCCATGCTATAATGCTTTTAATATTAAATTATTATAAAATTTTAACTGAAATTCATTTTTATGAAATGTAAATCAATTTTTATTAGAAAATTCTACGAGAATTCAATTATTTAAATAAAAAAATAAATAGTTTATTCAATAATTGAATTTTATTACAATTTATGAAAATAATTGAATTCATGCGATGAATTTTATTAAATTTTGTTTAAATAATTGAAATTTTGACAAGTTTATTAAAATTTTTGACAATAATTGAATTTTGTTACCTATTTATAAAGATAATTTAATTATTATTAACGAGAATTTAAAAAAAAAAATTTGAAAATAATTAAATTTCTCCAAAGTATTTTATTACTTTTCAAAAAATTGAATTCTTGTAATTAATTTTGATATTTATTAAAATAATTGAATTTTAGAAAAAAATTTTAATAAAATTTCTTTAAATAATTGATTTTATGGGGAAAATTTCGTTGTTTAACAAGATAATTGAATTCTTTTGCAGAATTACTTAAACATTTTTTTGAAAATAATTGATTTCTTGAGAAGAATTAAAAGTTATTTATGAAAATAATTGAATCATTGCAACGAATTTTATTATTTTATTGAATAATTGAATATTAACCGAAATTCAATTCTAAATCAATTTTTATCAAAAAATTCTACGAGAATTCAATTATTTAAATGAAAAAAATAAATAATTTAATCGATAATTGAATGTTTCTTAAAATTTAAATTTTACGAAGAATTTTATTAACAACTTTTGTAAGTATTTAATTTCTTTTAAGGAATTTGATCAAAATTTTAACGAAATTTATTATATTAAAGAATTTTATAACTAGTTTTGAAAATAATTGAAAACATTTTGAAAAATGTTATTAAACTTTTTTTAAATAATTGAATTTCTGAGAAGAAATTAAATAATAATTCATGCAAATAATTGAATTCATGCAAAGAATTTTATTAAATTTTGTTTAAATAATTGAAATTTCGCCAAGAATTTTATATTAAAATTTTTGACAATAATTTAATTCTTGAGAAGAATTTTTCTATCTATTTATAAAGATAATTTAATTCTTGACTAGAATTTTTAAAAATGTTTGAAAATAATTTAATTTCTGCAAAGTATTTTATTACTTTTCATAAAATTGAATTCCTGTAATGAATTTTAATATTTATTAAAATTAAATTTATTAAATTAAAATTCTTTTGCAGATTTACTTAAAAATTTTGAAAATAATTGATTTTCTGCGATGAATTAAAAGTTATTTATGAAAATAAGTGAATTATTGCAACGAATTTTATTATTTTATTGAATAATATTGAAAGTTTCTTAAAATTGAATTCTTTCGTCAAGTTTTAATAAAATTTTTAAGAATAATTGCATTTTCCGAGGAATTTATTTAAAATTGTATTAAAATTTGAATTCAAATTTGAAATTCTGCGATGAAAATAATTGAATTCCTAAATTAAATTTTTATTAGTTATGAAAATAATTGAATGTTTTCGTAGAATTTTATCAAAAATTTTTTTCAATAATTAAATTTTTTGATAAATTTTATAAAAATACTGAATATTGAAAATGATTGAAATTGTGCAAAGAATTTTATTTAAATTTTTGAAAATAATATTGATTTTTTTGGCGAAAATTTTGCAATTTATAAAGATAATTGAATTCCTGACGAAATATTCGTTAAAATTTTTTAAAATAATTGAATTTCTTCGAAGAATTTTATTACTTTTGAAAATAATTGAATTCTTGTGATGAATATTTTGTTTGTTTTATTTATAAAAATAATTGCATTTTGCAAAGAATTTTTTTAAAATTCCTAAAAAGAATTGAATCTTTGTGAAGAATCTTGTTATTTATCAGGATAATTGCTTTAAAACTTTTGAAATAATTAAATATTAAAAAAATTCATTCTGGTGAAAAATAGAAAAAATTTTTGAAGGTTTTGTATTAAAATTCGTGGTAGTTTCATAGTTTATGTGTCAAACATAAAAGACACTAAAAATTCATAATTTTCTTATGAATTTCAAAAAATTTAATTTTTTCCAGTACTTTTAATAAAAATCCCTGACTTTTCCCTGACCTGTGGCAACCTTGAATTTTTTTATTATTGACATTAATTTCCTTAAATTTGAATTTCGAGAAAATAAATAGTCCCTGATTAATGTTTCTTTTTTGTTGTTATTAGGTCTCTTTTTTTGTTTTTCTCGTTTTTTTCTACTCGTAGTTGTCAGCGAATGGACATGTTTCTTCGGGATGTCCTACGCACTCGATTACTGGGTCATGACTACTGTCCCACATTCCGGGACCACATTGTCTGCATAGGCCGGCCAGAGTGCAGGGCAACCTATCAAGCTGTCTAAAGTGATGAAGTAATCCTCGAGCTTTTCGGAGAATTACAATCCCATCCATGTACATTGCTAGTGAACTAAAGTGCAATAGCATTTCGTCGGTTCGTAAATCTTGAGCTATTACGTCGTCGGCGTAGACGCACATTATCGCCAGGCAAAGGAACAAGTGAAAGTGATCCGTTAGATAATTCACCCAACATGCTTCCCACATGACAAGTGCCATTTCCGTCGGGAATTCACGTTTTAGGCATCTGGAAAGTAAATTAATTATTTAGAAAAAATATCCTATTTTTTGTGAGAATGGAAAAAAAATTATTTGGAATTGAAATAGAAAGAAAGAAAAAAAAGCGAATACAGGGGGTTGCCAAAAAAAATTTAATTTTCTTTTCCCCTGATCTTCAGAAAAAATTTTGACATTTTACCCTGACCCTAAAGAATATTCTGATTCACTCTAAAAATTATTATAGATACTCAAAAATTATTTTCATCAATTTAATTCAATTATTATTTTCTAGAATTTTTAACTATAATTCTTCTTTAAATCAATTATTTTTAATAATTTATTGAAAAAGTTCTTTGGAAATTTTCAAATCCATTTGTTTACAATTCAATTTTATCAAAAATTTCGATTATTCGGAAATTCATCAAATATTTTAGAAAATAAAAACTTCAAAAAAATTCAATTAAACTTTTTCAAAAAAAAAAAATTCTGTAGAATTAAATAGTTAAAAATATGGAAAATTTAGATTTTTAAAGATTTTAATTTGAAACCCTTTCAAAAATCAATTATTTATAAAAATAATTAATTCTTTTAATATTCAATTATTATCTAAAATTTTAACTAAACTTCATTTTTAAATCAACTTTTATTAGACAATTCTACGAGAATTCAATTATTTAAATACAAAAATAAATAATTTATTGAGTAATTGAATGTTTCTTAAAATTCAATTCTCATAAAGAATTTTATCAAACAAAATTTTTAAATAATTACATTCTTTAGACGAATATTAATAAAATTTTTAAGAATAATTACATTCTTCGAGAAATTCGATTAAATTTGTATTAAAAATAATTTAAACTTTACGATGTGTTTTATTATGTTTATAAAAATAATTGAATTCCCAAAAAGAGTTTAATTATATTTATAAAAATAATTGTATTCCCAGAAAGAGTTTCATTAATTTATAAAAATAATTGAATCTCTGTAGAAAATTTTATTATTTATGAAAATGAAAATAATTGAATTATTGTAAAGAAATTTATAAAAAAATTTGTAAATCTAATTCAATTCCTGGACAATTTTTATTATATTTATAAAAATAATTAAATGTTTGCGTACAATTTTATTAATTTTTTTTTAAATAATTCAATTTTTTTTGAAAAATTTCATTAAAATTTAAAACAGTAGATAATAAAAATCATTGAATTAAGGAAAATTTTTGAAAATAATTGATATTTTATCAAGAATTTTGTTAACATTTTTGAAAATAAATTGAATTTCGAAGAAGAATTTTATTATTCTTAAAGATAATTGAAACACAACAATTTAAAATAATAAAGTTTTCAAAAAAAAATTAATTCTACAGAATTGTTAGTTAAAAATATCGAAAATTCAGATTTTCAAAGATTTTAATTTGGAAACCTTTTCAAAAATCAATTATTTCTAAAAATTCATGCTATTAATGCTTTTAAAATTCAATTATCTTAATTTTTAAATTAAATTCATTTTTAAATCAATTTTTAAATTAGAAAATTCTACGAGAATTCAATTATTTAAATACAAGAGTAAATAATTTTCTACAGAATAATTAAGTATTTCTTAAGGGGAGACTTCAACTTCATTTTTAACTGTATCAAGAAAACTATTAAAATCTTCCGTAAAATTATTTTTGTCAGAAAATTTTCTGACACTTTTGGGATTTTTATTTTTTTTTAAAATGATCATTGATTTCCTCTCAAAAATTTACTATAAAAATAATTTTATGGAACATTTAAATCATTTTCTTGGCATAGTTAAAAATGTAGTCGAAGTCTCTCCTTAAAATTAGATTCTCATAAAGAATTTCATCAACAAATTTTTAAATAATTAAATTCTTTTGATGAGTTTTAACAAAATTTTTAAGAATAATTAAATTTTTCGAGAAATTTGATTAAAATTGTATTAAAAATAATTGAAATTATGCGATGAATTCCACTATTTTTGAAAATAATTCATAAAAAGAATTTTATTATTTACGAAAATAATTCAAACCCTGTAAAAAATTTTCTTATTTTTATAAAAATAATTGAATTATTGCGAAGAAATATATAAAAAAAAATTTGTAATCAACTGAATTCATGTGAAAGTTTTATTATTTATGAAAATAATTTAATATTTGCGCAGAATTTTAATTAATTTACTTTTAAATAATTGAATTTTTTTGAAAAATGTTATTAAAATAGTAGATATTAAAAATAAGTGAATTGAGGAAAATTTTTGAAGATAACTGAAATTTTGCCAAGAATTTTATTTAAATTTTTGAAAATAATTGAATTTTTGCGAAGAAGTTTATTAGTTTTGATAATAATTGAATTCTTACAATGAATATTGTTATTTATGAAAATAATTGATTTTTGACAAGAATTTTATTTAAATTTATGAAAATAATTGAATTTTGACAAGAATTTTATTAAAATTTTTGAAAATAATTGAATTTCTGCGAAGAAATTTATTAATTTTGAAAATAATTGAATTCTTGAGAAGAATTTTATTATTTATAAAAATAATTGAATTTTGACAAGAATTTTATTTAAATTTTTGAAAATAATTGAATTTCTGCTAAGAATTTTGTTAAGATAATTGAAACCTTGAAGACACTTTACAAAAATTTTTTAAAAATAATTGAATTTATGCGAAGAATTTTATTACTTTTGAAAATAATTGAATTTCTGCAATCGTTTGTAACTTTTCCAAAATTCAATTTTTTTTTAGTGTTTTTAACAAAAATTCTTCTTTATATCCATTATTTTTAATTAGAACTTTTCCCTGAATTCCCTGATCTGTGGCAACCCTGGAATAGGTCCGAAAAAAAAATATAAGAAACTCCACTTACAATAGAACCCATCGATGGCAAAATAGCAATTCCAAAGCGTCACTGTGCTTCTGTAGATGTGAATAAAAATCAGGAACCATTATTCGTATCAATTCTCTGAGGTAGCTCAAGTTTCTGTCCATATCGGTGTCGGTTGGTGTGCAAACTGCTACTGATCTTTGCATTAATCCGGCGAAACACCAAAAGGCGTCGATTTCGGAGTTTAATTCCGCTAAGAGAGGTGATAAAAGATCCGACATTCCCTGCGTGTAACCCAATGGTGCATTGTAGACGGCATAATTGAGAAGAATGTTCCTAAAGAGATATTTTTGATTAAAATTTTGCCTTTTATCAAAAATTATTTTTTTCCGTTTATTAATTTTAGATCTCGATTTCTTTTCGACTATTTTCAAAAAGCGATAATTTTTTCGGTATTATTTATTTTTAATTAATTAAATAATTAATTGTTCAGTAAATAATTTGTAATTTGCTTTGTACAACTTACTTCATTACTTCAATATTGGGATTATCTTCACCGGCGTAATAGGGATTTGCTCGATCAGTTCTGACGACGTCTTTCTCAACAATGCAGACGACGTTTCTCCAGAATCGTTCGCGATCCTCGGGTCCCATGTTCCGTCTCCGACGTTCAATCTCCTCGTACTCCTGATGTCTTATCGCGTCAATTTGTTCGCGATCCTCGTAAGTACTTTGATACGAATAACAGTGCAAGAGGAAAGGCCACACTAATTTTCGTAAGGCAGGCTCCAAACCCCCGAAGAATATTCCCTTTCGCAGAGCCAAGTCGTCCTCCACTTGTCCCCTTTCGTTCAGTAAATCCTTCCACGCTAATGAGGTGATCATTGGCACTTGTCCCTCCTCCGGATGGAGTTCGTCTCGACTCACTTCTGGTCGACACACCATGAAATGTCTGCAATTTGGAAAAAAAAAATGTCAAAAGTCAAATAATGGAGTCTTCATTTAAAAAAAAAGGAAAAACGTTACAAGACAAATAATAACAGAGTTGCCACAGGTCAGGAAAATCAGGGAAAAGTCTGGGAAAGTAAAATTAGTCAAGGAAATCAGGAAAAAGTCAAAGATTATTAAAAATACTGGAAAAAAATTAAATTTTCAGAATTCATAAGAAAATTCAAAATTTTGGCGTCCTTCTTGTTTGCCTCATAAATTATGAAATTACCACGAATTCTAATACAAAACTTTTAATTTTTTCCATTTCTGAAAATAATTTATTTTGAATAAATTAATTTTTGAAGAACTATCATAAAATTATTTTTTTATAAATATAATTATATAATTGAATTTTAAAAGAGTTGCATTTACAATTTCCATAAATAGATAAACTTCAAAAGGTTTTAATTAAACATTATACAGAAATAAGTTTCCTTAAAAGTTTTAAGCATAAGTTTTAGAAATAATTGAATTTTAAAAAGGTTTTCTCTTGAAATCTTTGGTGAATCTGAATTTTTTATACTTTTAATTCATGACTCTGTAAAACTAATTTTTTGAAAAATTTTAATTTCAATTCTGTTACAAAATTCTTCCCAGAAATTAAATTATGTTTTAGAAATTTAAAAAAAATTCTTTGCAAAATTCAATTATTTTCATAAATAACATATTCAATACAAGATTTCAAATTATTTTCAAAAGTAATAAAATTCTTCTCCAAAATTCAATTATTTTCAAAAAATTTAATAAAATTCTTGTCAAAATTTCAATTATTTTCAAAAAATACTATAAAATTTTTGTCAAAATTTTAATTATCCTTATAAATAATAAAATTCTTCTCCAAAATTGAATTATTTTAAAAGAATTCAATAAAATTTTTCTCAAAATTTCAATTATTTATTTAAGATTCTTATACGGGCAGAGCTTCTTATACAATTATCTTTATAAATAATAAAATTCTTCTCCAAAATTCAATTATTTTCCAAAAATTTAATAAAATTCTTGTCAAAATTTTAATTATCTTTATAAATAATAAAATTCTTCTCCAAAATTCAATTATTTTCAAAAACTTTTATAAAATTCTTGTAAAAATTTCAATTATCTTTATAAATAATAAAATTCTTCAAAATTCAATTATTTTAAAAAAATTTAATAAAATTCTTGTAAAAATTTCAATTATCTTTAGAAATAATAAAATTCTTTTCCAAAATTCAATTATTTTCAGAAAATTTAACAAAATTCTTGTCAAAATTTCAATTATTTTCAAAAATTTATTAAAATTTCTCGCCAAGATTTCGATTATCTTTATAAATAGCAAAATTCTTCCCCAAAATTCAATCATTTTCAAAAATTTTAATAAAATTCTTAGTAAAATTTCATTTATTTTCCAAGATTTTCCTTAATTCTATGATTTTCAATATCCACTATTTTAATGAAACTTTTCCCAAAAAAATTTAATTATTAACAAAAAGTTTTAATAAAATTCTACGCAAACAAAAATTCAATTATTTTCATAAATAATAAGACTAATCGCAGGATTTTAATTATTTTTAATATAATTTTAAATTAATTCTAAATTTGAATAAAATTCTTCGAAAAAATTCAATTATTTTAAAAAATTTGATATAATTTGTTTCTTAGAGTGTAATAATTATTTTCAATTAATAAATTACATTTTTTGAATTAATTTAATTATTATTAAAAATTTTAATGTAATTATTCGTAAAAATTCAATTATTTTAAAAAATGTTTATAAAGTTCTTTATAAGAATTAAAATTTAAGAAGTATTGAATTATTCAATAAATTATTTATTTTTGTATTTAAATAATTGAATTCTCGTAGAACTTTTTAATAAGAATTGATTTAGAATTGAATAAAATAAAATGATTAAAGTTTTGAATAATTTTATTTATAAATTTCAAGAAAAAAATGATTGAATTTTGAAAGAATTACTTTTGTAATTTTTAGAAATAGTTAAATTTTGAAAAATGCGTTGCATTGAAATCATTTAAAATATTTTAATTCGTAGACAAAATAAATAGGTATTTAAATATTTATTTTAAAAAATTATTAGCTATTTTTGAATGTAATTAAGAAATTTAAAAAAATTGAGTCGTCATGTTTTGAATAATGTTACAATTAAAGAATTTCGTTAATAAATGTAATAGAACATTTTTTTGAGTATCTAATCATTTTTTAGATTAAATCATAATATTCTTGTGAGTCAGGAAAAATTCAAAATTTTGTTTGAAAATCAGGGAAAAATTCAGGAATAACAAAATTAAATTTTTGTGGCAACTCTGATTCAGTAGGAAAAGTGATAGGAGCGAAAAATCGTATTTTTGATCAGACGATCAAAAATACGATTTTTTTTTTTGTACCTGTAGGGAAGGATTTCCTCAGCCTCGGCATCCAACCTGGGATAAAGAAGCTGGTGCCATTGGTGTAGAGTTGTTGCTAATCTATCTAGACCTCCATGATGAAAATGAAGAATTTTATATTGACTTTCTCTACTCGCGACAACAAGTTGTCCACTCGTGCAACCTGGATCGGCAAAAAATAATCGCAGCGATCTCATTTCGCTCAGATCGACGGAAAATCTTCTGCAACGATGGGCTCTTCGTAGAGTCACTGGTGAGGCTGTTGCACTTTCCGGAAAAGTTAAATTGTGCTGAAGGGCCAACAACTCCGGTGTTCTCATCCAAGCTGGTATTTCTTCTGCAAGAAAAGTGTACTTTTTTACTTAATTTGAAAATTACTTTTTTTAAAAATTAAAATTCCGTTTTCAGAAAAAAAAACTCACCGTCGTTTGAAATACTGACAAATAAACTGCAATTTGACGTGAGGGACAGACTCCGACTCTTGATACTGGCATTATCACTGTACAAAAATCGAGGCTCTTCGTCGATAATATTTTTGCCATTTTGCTCGAATACTCCCTGTCGGAGTAAACCATCGTTCTTCTCGTCCTTGGATTCGGTTATTAATTTACTGAGACTGATGGCATCGTTTTCTTGAAAATTATCATTATTCACTCCCACTGGACTATTCTCTTGTTTGGACGCAGTCTCTCCGTTCGAATCCGGACAATCCGAGTTCTCCGATGTCTTAGGCAATGTTTCCTGTCCCTCCTGATTCTCCACTTTTGGTGTTGAATTTCCTCCCGAACAAATGCGCTCGCAATCTCCACAATTCACCTGCTCTTTCACCTTTTGACAAAAAGTTGCATTTTTAATACAAACTTCAAATTAATTAAATTAATAATATAATTTTTATAATTAATTAAATTAATAATTTAATTATTTTCAATAATAATTTTTGAAAAAGTTCTTTAATAATTTTCAAATCCATTTGCTTACAATTCAATTTTACATGAAATTTTCTTTAATTAGAAATTCATCAATTAATTAAATATATTAGAAAATAAAAACATAAAATAATTTTTGAAAAATTCAATTAAACTTTTTTAAAAAAATTAGTTTTACAGAATTTTTTAATTTTACAGAATTGTTAGTTAAGAGTATGAAAAATTCAGATTTTTAAAGATTTTAATTTGTAATCTTTTCAAAATTCAATTATTTCTAAAAATTCACCCTATATAACTTCTAATATTCAATTATGTAAAACTTTATATTTAAATTAATTTTTAAATCAATTTTGAATGCAAAATTTTTAAACGATTGAATTATTTTGACGAATTTCAATAAAATTATTAAGAATAATTACATTTTTCCACAAATTGGATTAAAATTGCATTAAAAATAATTGAATCACAGTAAAAAAAATTGATTATTTATAATAATTGAATTATTGCGAAGAAATTTATAAAAAATTTGTAAATAATTAAATTCTTGTGAAATTTTTGTTATTTATGAAAATAATTAAATTTTTTCGCGAAATTGTATTAATTTTTTTAAATAATTAAATTCTTTTGAAAAATTTCATTAAAATAGTAGATATTGAAAATCATTGAATTGATGAAAGTTTGTGAAAATAATAGAAATTTCGCCAAGAATTTAATTAAAATTTCTAAAAGTAATTGAATTTCAGAGAAAAATTTTATTATTGATAAAGATAATTGAAATTTCACGAAAACTTTTGAAAATAATTAAATTTTGTCAAATTTTTGAAATTAATTAAATTTCTTCGAAGAATTTAATTAAAATTATTTTGAAAAAAATTGAATTTTTACAAAAAGTTTTATAAAAAATTTTGGAAAATAATTTAATTCTTTGAAGAAATTTAATTGAAAATGTATTGAAAATTTTAAAATAATACTAAAATTCTACCTAATAAATAAATTGTAGCAAAAATTTTTAAAATAATTGAATTTCTTTGATAAATTTTAATAAAATTTTTAATAATAATTAAATTTTTGCCAGAAACTTTATTTAAATTATTAAAAATAATTGAAAGTCTGAGATGAGTTTTATTATTTATAAAAATAATTTAATTCCAAAAGAGAATTTTATTATTTATGAAAACAATTGAATAATAATTTCTGAAAGTATAATTTGTAAATAATTGAATTCTTGGAAAATTTTTATTATTTTTGAAAATAATTAAATCTTTGCGTAGAATTTTAACGAATTAATAAAAATTAAATTCTTTCGTGAAATTTTATTGAAAATAATTGAATTCTTACAATGAATTTTGTTATTTATGAAAATAATTGAATTTTGACAAAAATTTTAATTATAAAAAAAATTAAATTTTGACAAGAGTTTTATTTAAATTTATGAAAATAATTGAATTATGACAAGAATTTTATTTAAATTTTTGAAAATAATTGAATTTCTGCGAAGAAGTTTGTTAGTTTTGAAAATAATTGAATTCTTACAATAAATGTTGTTATTTATGAAAATAATTGGATTTTGCCAAGAATTTTGTTTAAATTTATAAAAATAATTGAATTTCTGCGAAGAAGTTTATTAGTTTTGAAAATAATTGAATTTTTACAATGAATATTGTTATTTATAAAAATAATTAAATTTTGACAAGAATTTTATTTTTTTTTTTTTTGAAAATAATTGAATTTTGGCGAAGAATTTTGTTAAGATAATTGAAATCTTGAAGACAATTTATTATAGAATTATGTAAATAATTGAATTTATGTGAAGAACTTTATTACTTTTGAAAATAATTGAATTTCTGCAATCATTCGCAATTGCTTTAAAGTTCAATTTCTTTTAGTGTTTTTAACTAAAATTCTTCTATAAATCCATTATTTTTAATAATTAATTAAATATATATTGAAAAAATGTAACTAATTTCAGAATTTTAAATTATTAATCTTTTTCAAAAATCTACGTTCTTTAGAAGTTCTAATTAAAATCATTGAAAATTGAATTTTTACAAAATTTCAAATTAAAACCTTTTGAAGTTCATCTATTTATGAAAATTGTAAACCTAACTTTTTTAAAATTCAATTAATTTTGAAATATTAATGTAAAATTAGATTTCAAGAATAAATACTGTTGTAAAAACAACAATTTTCCAGAATTTCGTTCAAAATTCACTAACTTTTCTAGGTTTTTTCAAGGTTTATAAAATTCCCTGCCATTTCCAGATTTTCCAGGTTGCCTGGCAACCTTGTTTTAATAAGGAGTAAAAAAATGAGTAAAGAATAAAAAATTGATTAAAAAATAACGAAATTAATTATATATTCTTATCGTACCTCCAAACAAACGTCGACTCTCTCCTCCTCAACACCAGTAATTTGCGATGAACTTGCGTCCTTTAAATTTTCCCGATTTTTCACAATATTCTCAAGAGTGGTGGGATACTTTCTTAGTGTACTATTTGGAATCCAGCTGAGATGTAAAGTTGGTACATTTGAATTTTTATTTACTTTGCATATCAGTGTCATGTAGCCGGGATGATGCACAATATCACAATGCTGTCTCATTAATGTTGGCGGATGAACGCAGACATTATTTTTGCAAAAAAGTGCCTCACCATCCTGGTACATCACCCGGCGAGAATCCTGACAGCCATCGCCCAGGATGTAGCTACTCGCCTTCCTCAGGATGTTCGGCAACGGCATTTTACACAGTAGCTCCAGTTTGACGTTTTCACACGTGACTCTTTATCACGAACTTATCATTCCAATTTCTTCATTTCCTCAAGTCTCTCTTCTCTTCATCAATGGATTGCAAAAATTTTCTGCCGATTATCAGATGTCATCTCGAGGGAATAAATTTCAGGTGCAATTGCCTTGAAAGAAAAATAACAACTTGAAATTAAAAACTAAACTAAAAATAAATTGTTCTAAATTGTTTCCGTTTCCATATTTTTTTTTTATTTTCTGTATTGAAGTACACGAGTGTTTGGAATCGACTGATTAGAATCAAAGTTAAAATTATTGTCCATGATTAAGTGAAATTGAAAATAGAATTTAGAATATTGAAAATTTGGGATAGTCGGAAATTTTGAAATCGAAAAATGAAGTAATGAAGTTTAAACGGATTATAATGATGGATTTTAGAAGAAAATGAATGAAACCATTTTCTCTACTATCTCTAATCGTGATAGCGTTCGGCAAAAGCATAAATGAATATTAATGTCGTGACCTATTTGAATAAATTCTCGAGGTTAATAAATGAGGAAATATTTTTAAATACTATCTGTTTGTTTGCTAATTGTTATAATTGTATTTAAAGAAATTAAAATTATGAAATTTTAAATAATAAATTTTTAAATAATACCGATTATTACGAAACATGCTTTTTGAATAAACACATTGTTTTCTTATTAACTCATCGTTAATTCGTCTAATTTTAAATCCAAGCTGCTTGTTAATTTAATTTAGTCGTTAAATTAATTTACTCCTTAATTTTCTTGTTTATCTACCAATTACAATATTATTTACCCATTTACAACTAACAATTTAAAATTATAAATTTTAAAATTACAATTTACAATTTACAATTTACAATTAACAATTTAAAATTTACAATTAACAATTTACAATTAATAAAAAAAAACTATGCAACATAATTAACCAAACAAAAAATTCCCCCATTTTCGCAATTGTAAATTTGTTTCCTATCTGAAACTTGATATTTAACCGGAAGACACATTTAAAAGTAAATGTTTCGATATGAAACTTGAAATATTTGAACTCGAACAAGAAAACTGTAAAACAAGAAAATAAAATAATTAAATGTATAATAATTTAGTTTACGTTAAAATCGAGAATGCAAAAAATTGAAAAGTTTGCCCTTTTCGAATAGATTTAAAAAAAATTACTCACCGATTTTGTACCATATTGTCAGCAGTGGATTCTTTTTGAAAAACTAAAATCCTGACTGGAATATATTGACTCGTTTTTTAAAAGAAGTATTTTTCGAAAATCATTATTCGAACAGCTGTTAACTTTTTCTTTTAATAATAATTAATTTAGACAAAAAAAAAATATTTTCTTCGATACGATTAATTTTGAATTTTTTTTTTTTTTTTTGATTTTTTAATTTTGAAATTAAAATTTGAATTTGTGCTTTTTGACGCACTTGACGAAAAAAAGAAAAATGTTTTGACAACAGACCATAAGGAAAGCAGACTCGAGCAGGATCAATATTTCCACTAGTGTGACTTGTCTACATACGTTTATCTAAGTCACCTACATTTTAACTTTGATAAAAATTGCTTCCCCTTTCTTTCTTATTTTCCCTTATTCACTGTATTAACTTTAAGTTTTAATTTAAAATTTCCAATGTTTCAAATTTGATTTTTCGAGTAAATGTAGTGTTTAAATATTTTTACGAGTATCGTTTACTATACTTGATGCAAATTTCAGCACAGGCGCACGCACACATTGTGTTTAGTCCGCATGTGCTGTAATTAGAAGATCTTTGATTGAGAGAAAAGGGAATATTTTTGAATTTTTTTTCCCAAGTTTTAGTAAATTTTTTTTTTAATACTTTAGAAAAAATTCAGGGCTCGAACCAGTGAAAGTATTTAAAAATACGGACTTTACGGAACAAAAATGAAAAATTAGGGACCATTTCCGAACCAAAAAAAAAAATTAATCAGTCCAAGTCAAATAAAAAAATATTTTACTTAAAACTATAAATTAAATTTTTCATAATTCTATAAAACAGGAAGATATCGATAACTCCGAGTCTTCGACTCGGAGCGATCGATTTCTTCCTGTTTTCTAATAATTAAACATGACCGAGTGATAAAATCATTTACAATTCAATTATTATTTTACAAGAATTTTTAACTGAAATTCTTCTTTAAATCGATTATTTTTAATAATTTTCGAAAAAGTTCTTTGACAATTTTCAAATCCATTTGTTTACAATATTCAATTTTATGAAATTCCAATTATTAGTAAATTTTCCAATTAAATAAATATTAGAAAATAAAAACTTAAAATAATATTTTAAAAATTCAATTAAACTTTTTCAAAAAAAATAATTTTAAAATTCAATTATTTTTAAAGATTCACGCTATATTGCTTTTAAAATTCAATTATTATCTAAGATTTGAACTGAAATTAATTTTTGAATCAATTTTTCTTAGAAAATTCAACTAGAATTCAATTATTTAAATACAAATAAAATTCAAATAAATAATTTATTGAATTATTGAATGTTTCTTAAAATTCCATTCTCATAAAGAATCGTTATCAACAAATTTTCAAATAATTGAATTTTATCAACGAATTTTAATTAAATTTTTAAGAATAATTACACTTTTTGAGAAATTCGATTAAAATTGTATTAAAAATAATTGAAATTCCGCGATGTGTTTTATTATTTATGAAAATAATTGAATCCCTAAGAAGAATTTTATTACTTTTGAAAAATATTTCATTTTTGCGAAGAATATTATTATACTCTTGAAAATAATTGAATTCCTGCATATTTTGTAACTTTTCCAAAATTGAATTTTTTTTCTTGTTTTTAACTAAACATTTTCTATAAATCCATTATTTTTTAATAATTTTTGAAAAATGAACTCTTATAAAGAATTTTATCTACAAATTTTTAAATAAATGAATTCTTTTGACGAATTTCAATAAAATTTTTAAGATTAATTACATTTTTCGACGAATTCGATTAAAATTGTATTAAAAATAATTGTGAATCTCTGTAGAAAAATTTAATTTTTATTTTTAATAATTGAATTATTGCGAAGAAATTTATAAAAAAAACTTTGTAAATAATTGAATTCCTGTGTAATTTTTATTATTATTATAATTATTATAATTTCTTTGATGAATTTTAAGAAAATTTCTAATAATGATTAAATTTCTGCGAATAATTTTATTTGAATTATTAAAAATAATTGAAAGTCTGCAATGAGTTTTATTATTTTATGAAAATAATTGAATTCCAAAAAAGAATTTTATTATTTATAAAAATAATTGAATTCTTAAAAAGAATTTTATTACTTACGAAAATAATTGAATCCCCGCAAAAATGTTATTATTTATTTCAATGATTGCGAAGAAATTTATAAAAAAAAATTGTAAATAATGAAATTTTTATAATTTTTTGAAAGTAATTAAAAGTTTGTTTAGAATTTTATTAAATTCTTTTTTAAATAAATAATTAAATTTTTTTGGAAAATTTTAATAGAATAGTAGATATTAAAAATCATTAAATTGAGGAAAAGTTTTGAAAATAATTTAAATTTTGCCACAAAATTTTATTAAAATTTTTTGAAAATAATTGAATTTCGCAGAAGAATTTTATTATTTATAAAGTTAATTGAAATTTCAGGAGAATTTTTGTAAATTTTTGAAAATAATTGAATTTTTTGCAAAGAATTTTATTACTTTTGAAAATAAATGCATTTCTGCAATCATTTGTAATTTTCTCTAAAATTCTCCAAATTTTTTCGTACAATTTACGAATTTTTCATCCCTTTTGAATCGAATTACGGACTTTACGGATCTTTTTTTTCAAAAAAACGTACTTTTACGGACTTCAAGCAAAGTTACAGACTTTTAAGGGATTAACGGACCTAGTTTCGAGCCCTGCAGAAATACCTTGACAAAAACGAAAAATTCATCCAAATCGAAATTGTAATCTTTGGTTTTTTGAAATAAATTAGATTAGAAATGCATTATCTGCAGTGATAATTATTTATCAAAACGTTACAAAAATAGTTTTAGAATTTCTATATAAAAAATATAGAATAGTACAGTGAAATGACTTTTTTACACGATTCATAAAAAATGAAGGATATCTCCTGTTATTAAAAAGTGAAAATCTGTCAAGATTAATAATAATTAATAAATAATAATAGTCTAGGTTAATAGATGAAATTATCTGTTTTCATGATTTTTCTCTAGACTTTTAGTTTGAAAATAGAACTAAAATTAGTTAAATAATTAAAAATAAAATGAACAACGAAAATCTTTGTCTATAAATTCTTTCTCGTCAAGATTACTGAATTTTTCGCTAAATAACCGAATACTGAAATTAACTTTTTTTGTCATAATTTTCGCATTCGAAAGGAATCTCGTGATTCTTTGCGAAAACCAAAGCTGCCTTAGGACCACGTTTTAAGTACGTGATTGTCGCGTACGAAGTAAACTGAAAGTCTTCCTGCAGATAACCGAGCATTAGCAAATGTCCCACGATCGCTTCGCCAATTTCTCGGGGGAATTTCGGCGTCGGTACACTTGCTACCCTTAGGGCAGCGGCTCCCTTATTGTACCAAGAGTCGATTAATTTCAAAGGAGTGAGTCTCGTTTCACGCTGCACGGCGTTCATCATTATTTGGTACAAATAAGAACAGTAGGGTCCCACGTCAATTTTCTTCTTTTCCCTTGGTTTCTTGCAGTGATCGCACATGAGGTCGCAATCCTTGTCCGTCCATTTTTCCCCGAAATGGCTGGCGATCAAACTTCGTCGACATGAACTTTGGTCGAGGCAGTAGGCGAGCATTTTGTACAAATTCGGCAAACCTACTGTTACTGAGTCCGTGAAAACCATTCCACTTAATTTAAATATGTCTTGCAATCTGTAGAAAACGATGCAGTAGGATTTTTTCCCATCTCGTCCGGCACGACCACTCTCCTGATAGAAACTTTCCATTGACTTTGATAGACTGTGATGAATTACAAATCGAACGTCCGGTTTGTCGATTCCGAGGCCAAATGCAATTGTTGCAACCACCGCTTGATAGTCGCCGGAAAACCATTTTGTGTAGACTTTTGTGCGGAAATCAGGTTCTAACATCGCGTGATAACAACCGACTTTCAATCCACGTGCTCTTAAATCGGTTGTCAAATCTTCGGCATCCTTTATTGTGGTAGTGTAAATAATTCCGCTTTTGCCCTCGAATCTGAAATGAGAAGCGAATTGTAATAATAATAAATAGATAGTCAGGGTTGCCACGCTTTTGTTCATTTCAAATTCTCTGACTTTTCCAGGTTTTTATTTATTAAAAGTACTGGAAAAAATTAAATGTTTAGAATTCAAAAGAAAATTCTGATTATCTTGATAAATAAGAAAATTCTTTACAGAAATTCAATTATTTTTTAGGAATTTTAATAAAATTCTTTGCAAAATTCAATTATTTTCAAAAATAATAAAATTTTTAGAAAAAAATTCAATTTTTACAAATTTTAACGAATATCTTGTCAAGAATTCAATTGGCTTTACAAAAAACCAAAATTTATCAACAAAAATTCAATTATTTTTAAAAATTTAAATAAAATTCTTTAAAAAATTTCAATTATTTTCAAAAGTTTTTTGCAATTCCATAATTTTCATTATTTACTATTTTCATAAAATTGATCAAAGGATTTAATTATTGAAAACAATGTTTGATACAATTCCACGAAAACATTCAATTATTTTCATAAGTAATAAAAATTTCATTTAGGAATTCAATTATTTTCATCGCAGAATTTCAAATTTGAATTCAAATTTTAATACAATTTTAAATAAATTCCTCGAAAAATGCAATTATTCTTAAAATTTTTATTAAAACTTGACGGAAGAATTGAATTTTAAGAAACATTCAATTATTCAATAAAATAATAAAATTCGTTGCAATAATTCAAATATTTCCACAAATAACTTTTAATTAATGGCAGAAAATCAATTATTTTCAAAATTTTTAAGTAATTCTGCAAAAGAATTCAATTAGCTTGTAAAATAACAAAATTCTTCCCATAAAATCAATTATTTTAAGGAATTTTAATAAAATTCTTTTTCAAAATTCAATTATTTTAATAAATATCAAAATTCATTACAAGAATTCAATTTTTCAAGTAATAAAATACTTTGCTGAAATTAAATTATTTTCAAGCATTTTTAAAAATTCTGGTCAAGAATTAAATTATCTTTATAAATGTAGATAGAGAAATTTTTCTCAAGAATTAAATTATTGTCAAAAGTTTTAATATAAAATTCTTGGCAAAATTTCAATTATTTAAACAAAATTTAATAAAATTCTTCCCATGAATTCAGTTATTTTAAAAAATGTTAATTAAATTTTTTAAAAAAAGTTTTCAATTATTTTCAAAACTTGTTATAAATTTCTTTAATATAATAAATTTCAATTAAAATTTTAATTATAAATTTCTTAAAAAGGAAATTCTTCGTAAAATTAAAATTTTTAGAAACATTCAATTATTGAATAAATAATTGAATTCCTAAAAAGAATTTTATTATATACGTAAATAATTGAATCCCCGCAAAAATTGTATTATTTATGAAAATAATTCAATGATTGCGAAGAAATTTATAAAAAAAAATTTGTAAATATTAAAATTCTTATGAAGTTTTTATTATTTTTTGAAAATAATTAAAGGTTTATTTAGAATTTTATTAAATTCTTTTTTAAATAAATAATTGAATTCTTTTGGAAATTTTTATTAGAATAGTAGATTTCTATTAAAAATTATTGAATGGAGGAAAATTTTTGAAAATAATTGAAATTTTGAAAAGAATTTTATTAAAATTTTTGAAAATAATTGAATTTTGGAGAATTTGATTATTTATGAAGATAATTGAAATTTCACGAGAATTTTTGTAAATTTTTGAACACAATTGAATTTTTGCAAAGAATTTTATTACTTTTAAAAATAATTGAATACTTGTGACGATTTTATTAAAATTATTTTGAAAAAATTGAATTTGTTTTATTATGAAAATAATTGAATTCCTAAAAAGAATTTTATTATTTATGAAAACAATTGAATCCTTGTAAAAAATATTATTTATGAAAATAATTGAATAATAATTTATGAAAATAATTTGTAAATAATTGAATTCCTGTGAAATTTTTATTATTTATGAAATAATTAAATATTTACGTGGAATTGTATAAAAATTTATTTTAAATAATTGAATTCTTTTGAAAAAATTAATAAAAATAGTAGATATTAAAAATCTTTGAATTCAGGAAAGTTTTTGAAAAATATTGAAATTTTGCCAAGAATTGCACTGAAAAAAAATTTAATTGATATAAATAACCGATTAATTGACTATTATCAATTAAATTTTTACTCTAATCAAATAATATTTATTGGTGTCAATTAAATGGTATTTGAACCAATAATTTCAGTATTTGAAGCAAATACCATTTAATTGACTCCAAAAATAAATATTATTTGATTTAATTGATAATAGTCAATTAATCGGTTATTTGAATCGAATAAAATTTTTTTTCAGTGTATTAAAATTTTTGAAAACAATTTAATTTTAGAGAGGAATATTTTTACTACTTTTGAAAATAGTTGAATTTTTGCAATAATTTGTAATTGCTTCAAAATTCAATTTCTTTTAGTGTTTTGAATTAAAATTCTTCTATAAATTCATAATTTTTAATAACTAGTTAAATATATATTAAAAAAATGTACATAATTTCAGAAGAATTTGAATTATTAATATTTTTTAGAAATCTACGTTCTTTAAGATTTGTAATGAAATTCATTCAAAATTGAAATTTTACAAAATTCCAAATTAAAATCTTTTGAAATTCTTCTACTTATAAAAATAATTGTAAACGCAACTCTTTTAAAATTGAATTAATTTTGAAATATTAATGTAAAATTAGATTTCAAGAATAAATAAAATAATATTACCTGTTTTTCATTAAATTCTCAATCATTGAGAGACAAACATCTTTTTCATTAGGTTTTCTCCGGACCTCGTAGTAAAGATTCGGACGATTGAAGTGAGAACGAAGTACTAGACAGCCTTTAATGTCGAGCATCTTTTGGACATCGACAATTATTTTTGATGGTGCTGTTGCAGTGAGTCCAAGGAGGGGAACACCGGGGAACATTGATTTTAGTATTCCTAGTCGATTATAGTCTTTGCGAAAATCGTGTCCCCAATGACTGCAGCAGTGCACCTCGTCGATTGCAAATCTATCGAGTCGACCCATTTCGTAAGCTTTTTGTAATTTACTCTTAAATCTATTTGACTTTGCTAGGTATTCCGGGGTTACATAAACTAACTTTAGACTCGAATTACTGTCAACTAGAGCTGTCATAATTTGTTTTGTGTTCTCCTTTCCGGATTTTGCACTCAACATCATGGCGTTAATGTTGTTTTTATGTAAACCGCGAAGCTGGTCCTCCATCAGGGCAATCAAGGGAGATACGACTACGGTGAATCCCTTTCCAACTACAGCTGGCAATTGGTAGCAAAGACTTTTTCCTCCTCCGGTAGGCATCACCAAAATCACATCCTCTCCTGACATTGTCGCATTTATTGTCTGCAATTGCAATGGTCTGAATTCGTTAATTTTGAATGTGATATTCAAACATTTTCTAACACCCCACGACCATTCGAATTTTTCCGTATTCCAATTTTTTTCCGATAGAGATAAACTTTTCTTTACAAGAGCATCGTCTTTCAATTTTTCCTTCCTGGAGGTGAGCACTTGCTTCCTGTCTTCTAGCTTCTGAATTTCGGCATCAATTTGATCCAATTCAAAGTCGATGGCGCGAATTTCGTCCTCTTCGGTGACTAAAAAGAGAATTTTTTAGTAGGAGACGTAGAAAACAAAAGAAATTTTTTTACACATCAAAAAGACGGATTTTATGCTTAGAAAAACGTAGAAAATAAAAAAAAACTATTTTTTAATCAAAAAGACTTAAAATTCTTTAGAAAATTTCAGGCTTTGTACTCGATAATTAATTTTAATAAAGTAGTAAAAAGTAACTTAAAGACAGAAAAAAGTATCTATCTTGACGACTTGACGACTCAATTTTTTTAATTTCTTAATTACATTCTTTGAAATAAATATTTAAATATCTATTTATTTTGTCTACAGGAATTAAAATATTTTAAATAATTTCAATGTAACGAATTTTTAAAATTTAACTATTACTAAAAATTTAAGAATCAATTCTTTCAAAATTCCATCATTTTTTTCTTCAAATTTATAAATACCTAAAATTATTCAAAACTTTAATCATTTTATTTTATTCAATTCTAAATCAATTCTTATTAGAAAGTTCTACGAGAATTCAATTATTTAAATACAAAAATAAATACCGAACTTTAAAAAAAGTTTTTAAAATAATTGCATTTTTGAGAAGAATTCTAAAAAAATCTTTTAAATGAAATGAGATATTTTTTAAAAAATTTTATGAAAATTGTGTTTCAAATAATTGAATTTCTTTGAAAATTGTATATTATTTATGAAAACATTTGAATTCTTTAAAAAAATTTTATTAAAATTATATTGAAAACAATTCAATTATCCTAAAGAATTTCATTAAAATTTTTTTAAATAATTGAATTCTTTCAAAGAATTTTATTGAAATTTTTAAGAATAGTTGCATTTTTTGCGGAATTCATTTAAAATTTTAATAAAAATAATGGAAATCCTGCGATAAGTTTTAATATTTTTATATTTGAATTTTCTTGCAACGATTATTATTAAAATATTAAAGAATAATTGAATTCCTAAGAAATTTTTATTGCTTCTGAAAATAATTAAATGTTTGCCTGTATTAAATTTTTTTTAATAATATTGAGTTCTTTTGGAAAATTTCATTAAAATAGATATTGAAAATCATTTAATTGAAGAAATTTTTTGAAAATATTTGAATATTTGCAAAGAATTTTATTACAATTTTTGAGAATAATTGAAAGTTTTGCAAAGAATTTTATTAAAATTTTTGAAAAAATTGAATTTAGAAGAGGAATTTCATTATTTCTAAAAATAATTGAAATTTTGACAACAATTTTTAAAAATTTTTGAACATAATTGAATTTTTGTAACCGAACTTTAATAAAGTTTTTTAAATAATTGCAATCTTGAGAAGAATATAAAATATTTTCAAAGAAATGATTCTTTTCAAAAAATTTTTTATGAAAATTGTATATTATTTATGAAAATAATTGAATTCTTTCAAAAAATTTTATTAAAATTATATTGAAGACAATTCAATTATTCTAATGAATTTCATTAAAATTTTTTTAAATAATTGAATTCTTTCGAAGAATTTTATTAGAATTGTATTAAATATAATTGAAATCCTGCGATGAGTTTTAATATTTATAATAATAATTGAATTCTTGCAACAAATTTTATTAAAATTTTTTAAATAATTGAATTCTTGAGAAGAATTTGATTATTTTTAAAAATAAGTGAATTCTTGCGAAGAATTCTATAAAAATCTATTTAAATAATTGAATTTTTTGGAAAAATATTAGGAAAATTCTGTTTTAAATAATTAAATTCCTGTGGAAATTTTTTTATTTATGAAAATAATTGAATGTTTACGAAGAATTTTATAAACAGTTTTTTAAATCATTCAATTCTTTTGGGAAATTTGTTATTAAAATAGTAGATATTAAAAATCATTGAATTACGAAAAATTTGTGAAAATAATTATGAATCGTTTTAAAGATTTTCATTACAATTTTGTGAATTTTTTCCAATAACTTTATTAAAATTTTTTTATGTCAACTGTTAACAAATTTAAAGTATAGTGTAAATTTTAAAAAGAAAGGAAAAAAGTAGCTTTTAGTATAATTGCCGGCTTCGCCATGAGTATCGACAACGCGTAAACAAATATAATTTACTTACCTTGATAATCATCACAATTTAGTGACGTTTTCGATGTACCGGCTGACATTTCGGAATTTGATTTTTGATTGTTAATTTATGAATACTTTTTGTCGATCCTCGATCTGGTCCTCGAGACGAACCGCGTCAAACGCGTTTGATCGTGTTTAGGGAAACATAACCTCAAAACATTTTCCGGAAAAAATTGAAACGCGCTGTCTGCTACAAGATCAGCTGACTTTATATACACAATCAACACTTTACCGTCAGGCAAGTAACATCCAAAGTTCAATATTAACGCACAAAATTAATTTCTTCCCAAAATCATCTACTTCCGATATAATTTATAAAGTGTTTTCGTACTATGTTAAAAGCAGCCTTCAATAAATGTCCTACTTGGCTTGAAAATACAATTATATCCACATACTACAAGGGTAGATATTGATAATGTATTAAAAAATCAATATTGAAAAAACAATTCCTTATTGTTTAAAATTATAAAAAGAAGAAAATCTTTTTGTTTTCAGCGAGAAGTTTGACAGCAAACAGTCGTAGATTTTTGCCACAATTAATTCAACAGAGTGACATGAAGGTTTTAATTCTCCCAGCTTTACAGGATAATTACATGTACCTCGTAAGTAAAAAAGAATAAATTCTAGAAATATTTTTATTTTTCTAAAAAGTTTTTACAATTCTATTTTTTAACAAGTTTTCAATTTTTATTTTTCTGGAAACTAGGTTTTCTAAACTGTTTTGACCGTTATTTTTTCTATTTTTCTGGAAAGAATTCGAGTAATGAAATGTGCGAATTGATTTGTAGATAATTGATGAGGTATCGAAGGAAGCGGCAATTGTTGATCCCGTTGATCCTGACACGGTTGTCTCGGCAGTTAAAGAGCACAGTGTTAATTTAACAAAAGTCTTGACAACCCATCATCATTGGGATCATGCTGGCGGTAATGAGAAATTATTCAAAATGGTGAACAATCTTAAAGTTTACGGTGGAGACGAGAGAATTGGCGCACTGACGGATAAAGTGAAAAACGGTGATAAAATTGATATTGGAAATTTAAATGTCAAGTGCCTTTTTACTCCTTGTCACACGAGTGGTCATATTTGTTATTATGTCACTGGTAATGGAGATTCACCAGCTGTTTTTACTGGTAAGAATAATTTTTATTGTCAAACTCAAATCATTTTGTAATTTTTATAAAAATTTGACAAATTACTTTTTTTAGGTGACACGTTATTCGCAGGCGGATGCGGGAGATTTTTCGAGGGAACTGCCGATCAAATGTATGAGGCACTTATCGAAACTTTAGGAAAATTGCCCTCGGAAACGGTAAATCGAATGTTTCTTATTTTTTTCGTACTTAGAGACTTTGCACTCATCTACGAAAACATTTACTATTTTTTTTTACAATTTGTGGCACTAAAAGTTAAATTTTTTTACATACTTTCACTGGTTCGAGCTCTGAATCAATTTTTTTATAATCGACTAAAATGAATTTTTTTAGACGTCAAATTTAATTTTTCGATAACTACTTTTTTTAAAATTAATTATCGAGTGCGAAGCCTGTATTTAAAAAAATGGAAAAGTGAATAATAATTTTTCCTCTCTCTCTCTGTAGAAAGTCTATTGCGGTCATGAATATACAGCTGCAAATTTGATGTTCGCCCAACACGTTGAGCCGAATAATGAAGAAATTAAGAAAAAAATTGAAAAAGTTGCTGATTTGCGTAAAAATCAAATTCCATCGGTTCCAAGTTCCATTGCTGAGGAGAAATTGACAAATCCATTTATGAGAGTTCTGGAAACGAGTGTCATGGAACATGCCAAAACAAATGATCCTATCGAAACAATGGCTGCCATTCGCAAAGAGAAGGACAACTTTAAATGTTAGTTGATAAAAAATACAATTATTTTTTTTACTATATAGTTTTAGTTTTCATATTTTTTAAATTCTGTTTTTACTTTAAAAAAAGGGTTATGAATTAAATAAGTGGTGTAAAGCATACACTTATATACAAAGACAATTTAATTATTTTGAATTACGTATTTACAAATTATTTGTACATTAAGTTACATTTAGAGACATTTCGGTAGGCGTGTCTTCGGATTTTTTATTATAAATCTGCATTTCAGCCACGTATTTCTCCTTTGATCGTTCGTACATATCGTAGTAAACCTAAAAAGTAAATAAGATTTGATAATTATTGGGATTTTATGGAACAATTTTAATAAGTTGTTAATTTTTTGTTTCCTTACCTTTTTATCATCGGAACTGAGAGACTTCCACGTCGTAGCCAATTGTCGGGTCAGTTCTTGTTTACTGGGTTCTGGCTCTCCGGCTAATCTCTCCATAACTCTAGGCCTTTGCTCTTGACAAAATTGAAAGAAAGGATTCGCAGGCCTCTTTGGTGCGTTTGGATCAGCTTTAGTTCCTTTTCTTTTTGTCCCTTTTTTCGGTTTCTCCTCCTTGGTGTGGTTAACACTAGATTTAGAAGCCTTTTCTTGTTTTGGCGCAGTTTGAAGAATGCTGTTCTCCTCGAGAACACCCATCGGCGCTTCCCTCCATCTGTCACCATGCTGGTCCAGTCGATTTATTAAAAATCTTTCGAGAAAAAAATTTCTAATTAGATTTCTAATTATCATTTCATAAAAAATTTCTAATTATCATTTCGGTAAATTTTTCTTTCTTATTAGATTTTTTTTATTATAGTTCTGTTAAATTAACACAGGCTTCGCACTTGATAATTAATATTAAAAAAAAGTAGCTATCGAAAAAATTGACGACTAAAAAAAACTCGTCTTAGATTCACAAAAATCACAAAAAATAATTAGAAAATAATCTTTTTAAATTATTTTACCTATTTTGAAAAAATTTTAATTACAATTTTTCAAGAGACTAGTTTTTTCATAATTTTCAAATTAAATTACATTCAAAACTTGAATAATAATTTTTATTAAATAACTATTTAAATAAAAAAACTATTTAAATATTTAAAAAAAATATAAATTATTTTTTTCCTGCGACGAGTTTTGATATTTATAAAAATAATTGAATTCTTGCAACGATTATTATTGGAATTTTAAAAAATAATTGCAATCTTGAGAAGAATTAAAAAAAAATCTTTTTAAAGAAATAATTTTTTTTTAAATGTTATGAAAATTATGTTTTAAATTATTGAATTTCTTTGAAAATTGTATATTATTTATGAAAATAATTGAATTCATTTAAAAAATTTGTTTTTAATTATATTGAAAACAATTCAATTTTTATAAAAAATTTTATTACCTAAAATTTTTGAAAATAATTGAATTCTAAAGAAGAATTTTATTAAAATTTGTTTTAATAATTGAATTTCGGTAAAAATTTTATTATTTGTGAAAATAATTTAATGCCAGCAAAGAATTTAATTAGTTATGAAAATAATTGGTTTTTTGCAAAGAATTTAATTAGTTATGAAAATAATTATTTTTTTGCAAAAAATTTTTTTAAATCATGAAAATTATTGAATTTTATAAATTGTAAGGAAATTGTAAACAATTGAATAATTCTTTCAAAGAATTTTATTAATATTTTCGAAAAAATTGAATTCTTTAGTGATTTAGTGATAGTATTTAAAATGATATTAAAAATAATTGAATGTTTCTGATGAATTTTATCTAAATTTTGTTAATATAAGTAAAAAATTGAATTCTTTTGAGAAATTTTATTAAGATGCGGTAAATATTGAAAATAATTGAATTTCGGATAATTTTCGAAAATAATTTAATCGTTTCAAAGAAGTTTATTAAAATTTTTTAGAATAATTTTTTTATTTCATCTATTAGCGAATTTAAAGTAATGCAAATTGTCACAAAAAAAGTAGCATTTAGTATCATAAATCTAAAAAAAAGTATCCAAATAGTAGGGAATCGTAAAAAAAAATAATAAATATTTGATTTGAGTAGATGAGTGCGAAGCCAGTTAACAAGGAAGGTTCGTAAATTGCAAATTGGTCGTAAAGTTGAAAAAATAGTGAAATCGAAACATCTCGGAAGTATTTTGAAATAACTCGAAATATTACCCACATTATTTAAAAGTTTAAATTAAATTTACAAACCTCGTTCAAAAAAATTTCCCACAGAAATACAATTTTACATTTTTTGTGGAAATTATAGCAAAATTGAATGAAATGGAAAGAAAAATGCAGAAAGCATTTGTTTATATGGATAAACAGAAATGTTAGTATACAAGACAAAACATAACCTAAAATGTCATACTTTTTCTCTTTTCTTGTCCTCTTGAGAAGTTTTCTTACTCGCTGAATACGATAAACCAGCCTTTCATTATCCTAGAATACAAACGTTTAATTGAAAAATCATGCAAATTATTGATAAAAAAAGAAAATATAGTTATTGTTTTTTTTTTCTTATTCTCCTTGACTTTTCAAGTATGTGTGTTTATTGGGAAAAAAATAATAATTTTCAATCGCACCTGCTGTAAAGTCTCGCATCTGTCGAGTAGGAGTTGGTACTTTGTTTTATAAATATCAAATTCTGATGGTTCTGCTTCGTACTCTGACTCGTCCGACATTGCACTATTAATTTTTAATTAAATAAATACATTATTTCTATCCATTTTTTCTCGATGAAAATTCAACAATGCACGCCATAGAACGCTGAGAAGCATTTTGTTTATCAAGTTTTTCCATTCGCTGACAGATGGCATTTATGTTCTGTTCTTTATTTCCCGTCATTACCTACTTTATTAACAAATAGTTCTAATATTTAAATTATTCAAATATTTTAATTATTTCTAATTAAAAAAAATAGTTGATTAATTTACATTTTTATTTTAAATTGTCTTTGCTTTATTTTTATTATTATTTTTGTTTCTACTTTTTTATATTTATTATCTCTTATTTTTTACTACTTTTTTATGCTTGTCAATTATTATTTTGATTATTTGGAATGATTTCCGGTGAAAGGGACTTTAGGCGTCAAAGAATTATAGGTTATGTTTGAAAAAGTTTTTGCTTGATTTAAGATTCATTTTTAATTATCTAAAGTCATAAAAAAATTTTCCAATCACTTTACATAGTAAATAATTAATAAGAATTCCTTTTGACTCCAAATAATTAAAATTGAATTATAAATCAAGCAAAAACTTTCTCAAACATAACCTATAATTTTTTGTCGCACTTATGGCGACACTTTTATTTAATATTTTATAATTCAATTAAATAAATAAATATTCAAGTAAAGATCGAATAAAAAATATTCAAATAAATGTCAAATAAATAAATTTGAATTTATTGGCGAATTTCGAATAGAATACTTGTTTTTCAATAAAAAATTACGTCAAAAAAACTGAAATCCACAAGCATTAGTGAGGGTAGTTTGGAAGTGTGCCAAAAATCTATAAAGGTATATGTTGCACTATATTTTTAATACACTAACTATATATATGATTCTGAAGTATGTTTATTTCTTATTTCTTTTTATTTTACAATAAAAAAAAAATACATGACTAATTTTTCATAAAAAAAGGAAATTTTCAAAAATTTTATTTTTCGTATTTAAAAAGATTTTTTTATTATTTTCGATTTTTTTAAAATCTAAATATAAATAATTTTGTTTAAAAAAAAGGGGAAAATAAATATCGGACAATTTAGAAAAGGGAAATAAGAACAAACTGTGTGTGTGTTTTTTTCTTTTTTTTAAACTGTGTGTGTTATATATAAAAAAAAGCCGCATGGAGCAGACGACGCAACGGGAGGGATGCGGAAATACGCATGCGTATTTAGGGAAAGTCAACGTAAACTCACCCCTCATTTTTTGGCTTTCACGAGACCAAAACACATATATGAGAGCAGCTTGATTCTTTGCGCATAGTCCTCGTCGTCCATCTTCGAAAATCTAGAATCTCTTTATTGTTATAACCATTCACTGTGGCAGCACCTGAGACATCAACGAAATAAATTCACGTGCAGAAAATAGAATACAAAAATAAAAAAAAAAACAAATCCCCCTCTTATTCACTATCGTCATCATCATCATTATCTCTCGTCTCACTTTTTTTTTCTCCTGCGGCAGCAAAAAAGTGAAATTTTTTCGGAAAAATTCACTTTTAGATTGACCCTATCCTTAAGTCTTAATTGACCTCACGAGTGTTGTCGCGATTCTAATTAAAGTTCGCACTCCCAGGCGAAGGCTAGTAATAAAAGAGCGTCATTTGGAGTGTGTGCGTGATTTTTTTTGCGTGTGACGACAAAATTTTCATTTCCTTCTTTTCATTCCAAAAAATATTTTTAATTTCATTGTTTCTTCTTTTGTGCTCTTCCTATAAGCTCGTGAATATTGAAAAAAAATTTCCCCATATATATTTCTGAGAGAAAAGTGATTTTGTATAATTATTCTTCACGTTAATTTAACATGCAGTGCGTGGCTGTTTTTTAGCACCTGTTCAATAGCTGCGACCTTGCGGTGAGTGTTTGTTAATTATTAATTTTGTTAAAATGCGTTAAGTTATTTAATGACACAAGGGAAAACCGGTAGTGAAAATTATTCTTGTGCTTTATATACTAAAAAACACACGATCGATAGAACATAAAGCACTGCAATATTGTCGGGAATCATCAGCTGATTTTTATTTTTATTTTATGCATATAAGTGACAGAAAATTTTAATTTGTCACTTCATAATAGAAAAGAAAGAGAAATTTTAATTTCTGTTTTTATAATTACTTAATTTGAAATTTCTTTCAGGGTTTAAATATATAATGGACTTTTTTATATACATATATTTTCTTACGTGCTATATACTTTCGTGCGTGCTTTTTAAAAACTTTTTTTTAATAATATAATGATAATGTGACTTGGGAACTTGAGGTTCAGAAATAGATTTATTATTGACTTTGCAGAGGGTAATTTAAAGTTTTTTTTTCCAGTAAAATAAAATCTTAACAGAGGATTTTATAATCCTGTGGTATAATTCAATTCAATGTAATTTTAATAAAATAATTTAATAATTGTTTAAAGTATTTAAATTTAAAATAAAATTTTAAATTGTGTTTCAATTTTCAAACATTGGAATATTTCTTAATATTTTCTAAATATTTAATATCTTTGAAATATTTAAAAATATTTTTTAAAACTAGTTCTTAATATTTGCTAAACAATTCCTATTAATTTTCAAATATTTTATATTTTCCAAATATTTCCTATTTTTCAAAATATTTCCCAGTATTTTTTAAATAATTCTCAATACTTTTCAAAGATTTTTTGAATAATTTGTTTTTAATTTAAAAATAAAATTTTTTTTCTTTAAAAATTGAAAACAATAGGTATTTTTTAAATATTTAAATAAATTTTACCAAAAGTTTCCCTATATTTTTCTAATATTTCTTAAAATTTTCCAAATATTTCCCACTATTTTTTTAAACAATTCCCAATATTTTTAAAATATATTTAAATAATTAGTTTTTTATTTTAAATTACAATTTTTATTGTTTTTAAAAATTAAAAAAGTATTTTCCTACCTGCTATTTTTCAATTATTTTCCAAAATATTTTTCACTATTTTTTAAATAATTCTCAACATAGTTTCAAATATTTTTTAATTTAAAATAAAAACTTTTATTGTTTTCTAAAAATTAAAAAAACTATTTTTCAATCATTTTAAATATATTTACAAAAATTTCCTACTAATTTTTTTCTAAAAGTTTACTAGTTTTCCAATATTTCTTAAAATTTTCGAAATATTTCCCACTGTTTTTGAAATAATTCACAATACTTTTCAAAGATTTTTTAAAATATTTGTTTTTAATTTTAAAATAAAATTTTTTTTTCCTTTAAAAATTGACAACAGTAGGTATTTTTCAAGTATTTAAATAAATTTTTCCAAAAGTTTTCCATTTTTCTAATAATTCTTAAAATTTTCCAAATATTTTCCACTATTTTTTTTAATTATTCTCTCAATATTTTTCAAATGTTTTTAAAATAATTTGTTTTTTATTTTAAATTAAAATTTTTATTGTTTTTAAAAATTAAAAAATGTATTTTCCTACTATTTTTCAATTATTTTCCAAAATATTTTTCACCATTTGTTAAATAATTTTCAATATAGTTTCAAATATTTGTTAAATAATTTGTTTTTTATTTTGAATTAAAATTTTTATTGTTTTTAAAAATTAAAAAAGTATTTTCCTACTATTTTTTAATTATTTTTCAAAATATTTTCCATCATTTTTTAAATAATTCTCAATATATTTTCAAATATTTTTTAATTTAAAATTAAAATTTTTATTGTTCTTTAAAAATTAAAAAACTAATTTTTCAAGCATTTTAAATATATTTACAAAAATTTTCTACTAATATTTTTCCAAAAGTTTACTAGTTTTCTAATATTTCTTAAAATTTTCGAAATATTTCCCACTTTTTTTAAAAAATAATTCACAATATTTTTCAAATATTTTTCAATACTTTGTTTTTAATTTGAAATAAAAACTTTTTTTCTTTAAAAATTGAAAATCGAGTATTTTTTTTAAATATTTTACAATATTTTCTACTATTTTTCAAATAATTCTTAATATTTTTCTAACATTTTTTATAAATACTTTTAATGTTCTCAAAATTTTTAAATATAAATGAAAACTTTATTTATAAATTAAAAAACTAATATTTTTTGTTTATATATACGAGAGAAAAAAAACTGAATTTATTTAATGCAAATTCTCTCTTATATTTCCTGTATACATTTGAAATGACTTCTCTTTTGCAATAAAGTTCGACGAACAATAAGCTATTGTGTTTTAAAAGATTAAATTATAAATTTATGAAATATTATGATTACCATGCACGGTTTTTTTTGTGATATTCGCGCGATCGTTATTTCCTTGTTTCGTTAAAATATACATTTATTTCTGTCCCATTTGATTCAATAATATTAAATATCTAAAAAGAGTTGAAATCGTAAAATATGAATATGGTATATAAAAATGATAATTTATGGCAAATAAATGTCGGAAACTTTATTGTTGAAACACTTTCAATGTATTAGGGTAGTAAAAAAATAATTTTTAATTTCTTTATTACTATCGCAATAGTGAAATGTGTGTGAAATTAAAAAATTTAGCGATAAAAAATTAATTGAGAATAATAGTTATAATTCCTTTTTTTTATAAATCTATAATTGAATTGAATAACACAATTTTTTATTTTTTTTACCACTGAATTAATAGAAAAATTAAATGAAATTAAATTTTATTGATAGAAATTTTGCATTGAAATTATTTTAAACGATCGATCGCATGACTATTGTCAAAGAAATATTTATTTGAATCAATTTTTTTTAAAGTATTAATTCAAATACAAAATATTGTTCTAATAAATAATTTTTGCATTTGGAGCAAATAGGACTTGATTGACACAAATACCATTATAATTTGATGACTCAAATAAAATTTATTTGTAATTCAAATAAAAATTTGCAATTCAAATAGAATTTCTTTTGCAATTCAAATATTTATTTGTTAATTGACAATTAATGGACTTTTTTTATAATTGCAAAGCATTTAATGAATTTTATGAATTAGTCTTTTTTATGCAGTGTAGTAGTATTATTATACTAAAATTAATATAATAAATTAAAATGATTTTAATAAATTTTGTTTACTTTTTTTTTAAATTTAACTTTAATTTAACTCTTTTAAGTTTGAATTCACTTTATGTGTATTTTATAGAATTATTTTAAATGCACTGATGGCTATTGGCGTATTTACCTTATCTAATAGAAAGGAATAAAAGGCTACTTAGTTCTTGATATAGTTAAAAGTTGAGCTTGCGTCAGAATGCTATTCAGAGACTTTTTTTTCATTTCTTTGCAAGTAAATCTTTATTTTTTTGCGAAGTTGCAATTTTTCTTTTTTAAAAATACCACTGCAATAAAATCTGCTTTAGACTTTTTGTAAAGTAATAAATAATTATATTTTTTAATATATTAAATTTTTAACTTTTAATTTATTATATTAATTTTTTAACTTTTAATTATATTGATTTTTTATTTTTTTATATTTTTATATTAATTTTAAATATTTAATTGTTCTCTTTAAAAGTTTTATTAATTTTTATCATTGGGAGAAAAATACTCTAATTTAAAAAATAATTTTTTTCTCTCTATGGAATATTTTCTTCTATATTTCACGATTTTTTTTAAATTAAGTTTCAGTCTATATCGTTATACAATTTTATTGTCTGCGTGTAAGAATTTTATTCTTTTATACCGTACTAATAAAAAATTTTTATTTTTTTTATAACTTTTTTTCTATACATTTTATATTTTCGCGTTAATACATTTATTAGAGTTAAAATAAATTATTTTGTTTGTGTTTATCGTTAACATTTTTTGAGTATAAAAATACAAAAACAGAGTCAATTATTATTACCAAAAAAAATTTAAATAAATTTGAATGTCTCTGATAACAATGGATATAAATAATTTGTATATAAGAAAGACGCGAAACGTTAGTCAAATTAAGTTATTTAATTTTAATATTAATTACTTAATTTAATTTTATTAATTTGACTAAAAATTAACAATAATAATTATTATTATTTTGTTTCCTTTTATTCACGTTAAAATATAAGAGAAAAAGACAAGACATAAGGATGACGGGGTGCTTTGTACTTTTAAAAAAATACAGTATATATCTTCTTATAATATTTTCTTTTCATCAATTATTCTCGTTCTTTTGGTTACTAAAATGATTCATGAAGAATTATTAGAATGATTTAAAATATTTTATTCAATCTCTAAAAACTGACAATAAAAAGGTCATTGCCCCACTTTCTCCAGAACCATATTTTTTGAATGTATACATAATTTAATAATTAATTTTTGTTATAAATTTTTATTTCTAGAATTATTGATAAAGAAATATTTTGTTTAGTCTAAAAACTAAAAAAGTTTTAGACAAAAATTGTAAATGGGAAAATAGTTTTTTCTTAAAATTGTTTATAGAAATTTTGTGAACTTCGTTAATGTACTTTTTTCCTCGAAAAATAGTTTTTTTAACGCTGAAAATCGACGCTAACTTGATAGACTTATTTTATTTTTAAATTAATTTTATTTAATGTACTAACATTAGTTTTAATATCAAGTTTAATATCACTGTAAATTATGAGGTAGTAAAAAGCGTTGATGCTTAAATTTATCTACTAAAAAAGATAAAAAAAAATATAATTTATTTTTTTAAATAAAATTTTACTAAGGCAAAAATTTGTTTCTAAATCATGCAAAAACGAATCATTTGTATCTATTTTGAAAAAATAATCCTTCAATGGATTATTTTAATCCTTGATATGAATTACAGCGTTGCGGTATTATTTTAATCCATTTTGATATTAAAGTGATACTCCACAATTTTCTGTGACTTTATTTAATTTTAATACTATATTTAAATTAAAATTATATAAAAGTCGTAGAAAA